GTTCTTATTCCCAAGGGAAACCCAGCTGGTTGGAGGTCTGGGCACGTGAAACAGACAGAGGAGGTGTCCTTTTACCACCTGGCCCCAAGCCCTCAGCGTCATCTTAAGCTTCCCCAACTCCACAGGTAGGTTAAAAAGAGTCTCTATTGTTCCCTAAGCTAGGATGACAAGTGCTGATCTGACTTCTGCCTGTCCCAGTCTTCTCACAGAGGGGCCCAGAGCAAGGGACAAAGCAGCATCAACCTCTAGTGAAGGGCTGGGTATAAGTGCACTTGGGTGTGTGTGGACGTGTGTGACCAGAGCAGAGTAAACCGTCACGCGGTACCATTTGGCAGTACCAGCCACTGATTCCTGCCTACTTTCTGGACCAGGAACATCTCATAAGCCCGGTTTTCCCTGGCTGCTTTCTCTAGCTGAAGACGAGTACCTGTCATAAAGTAACCATGCCCCTCTACCCACCCACCACCAAATATTCGATATCTAAGTCTCCACTTCCAAGCTACCAAGTCGTCCTCATTACTGTCTTTTAACGTTCCATTGTGAATTGGGTGATGGTGTGCAGAGCAGCGCATCAGTTTTTTGTTCAGCAATTAGCACATTTTCTTTCATTTCATTGGTTACCATCTCCACAATGTAACATCCCACTTCCTCCCTGTGTTTCCTGTTTCCATTCCTCCCCCTCTCCGAGCCCTTCTGAACTTTGTCCTTGAGTAAATGCTGCCCTCTTGATCTCAAATGGTTGATTAGTTTAAGGTGTATGGACGTCTCTAGTGTTTGGCTGAAAAGTGAAGCCACAGAGGTGCGTTTAGTTCCAGACCTGAAGGGTGACCACGGGCCACAGTCTCGGGGGTTCCGCCTATATCCATCTGACTAGTAAGCTTGGTTTTTGTTTTATGATTTTGAGTTCTGTTCTACATTTTCTCGCACTCTCTCCAGGACCTTCCACTGTGATCTTTCAGAGCAGCTGATAGTGGCAGCAGGGCCTCATCTAGTTCTTCTCCTCTTAAGAGTGGTGAAACTAGTCCTCACCCTGCCCATTGTCTCTCGCCTTCTCCAGTTGCTCCCTCTCCTACCTGCTCCCATCTTCACCACAGCTTTCTGCTACTTGCCCTGCCTGTCATCCACTCAGGAGCCGGTGACCTTTCTAATGAGAACCAGATTAAGAGACTCCTGTTTAAACAGCCCTCCTCTGCCCCTGTGTGAACTTTCAGCCCCTGCAATGACTCAAGACCCTTTGTGGTGTGGCTCCATCTCTGTGTGCCCTGCAATCACTCTGTGGATCTGCCATATTGAAAGAGAAGGGACTTGGAGTTGCCAGCAGGACAAAGAAAGGTACCATGTTGGCAGGGTCTGTTTGCTCCCTGTGGCTGCTGTAAGACATGACCACACACTCAGTGACTTAAAGCCCCTGAAATTCACCCTCTTACAGTTCTGGAGGCCACAAGTCCAAAATCAGTTTGACTGGGTTGAGATTGCTGGCTGGATGCCATGCTCTCCGGCGGCTCTGGGGAGAATCTGTTTCTTGCGTCTTTTCATCTGGTGGCTGCCAGTCCTCCTTGGCTCCGTCTCTGCCAGCCTTCATACCACCTTGTCCTCTATCTGTATAATCTCCCCAGCCTCGCTCATCAGAGCATTTGTAATAATGTTCCAGGCTCATCCAACAGCCTAAGACACTCCCGTCTCCAAACTCTTAATCACATCTGCAAACACTTCATTCATCATCATATAAAGGGGGGGTACTGATCCCATAATGCAGTGCCTCTTGTGAAGAACACTTCAAAGGGTGAAATATGCATGAGAAACACTTAACCTACCCACTGCGGTCGCATCAATTCTGACTCATAGCACCCTTCTAGCACCCCTACAGAACGGAGTAGAACTGCTCCCTGGGGTTTCTGAAATAGTAAATTTTTATGGGAGCAGACAACCCGTGGAGCAGCTGGTGGGCCTGAACTGCTACCTTTGCAGTTAGCAGTCTAACACTTTACCCAATGCACTACCATGGCTCCTTTGAGATAGACTGAGGAGAGGCTCGCCTGACAGGAAGAACTGTGCCCAAGCATTTTCTGACCCTGAAATGTAACCTGAGAACTTCCCTAAGAAACCCCAGAACTGTGAGTATGGGATATGAGTTCTGTGAACCCAGAGAAGTAGATTGCTGTGGGAGTGACGGTTTGGTGGCCCTCTTTGTTCTGGGACTCCCGATGGGGCTTAGCCAGGTGGTTCTGGCTCACAGTCTCTCATCCTGGCCCACTCACATGGGACAGCAGGCGGCCTTGCTCCTCACCACAAGTGCATCTCCACAGGCCTACTCAAGAGTCTGTCCTCAGTATGTCACCAGTTTCCCCCCAGAATGAGCGGGACAAATGTGCATGCCTGAGAGAATTGGAGGCCCGAACGTCTTTATGCCGTACTCTGTATTCGTCAGAAATCAACCAGCTAGCACAGCTCCCACTCGAGGGAAAGGCGATTCTCAAATTGGTAGAAAACATGTGGGCATGTTGTTAGAAGACACAGAAGCGGGCTTGTGGTATTCTCCTCACACTCCTTGTTTGATGAAGACTCGACTTGGGGGGAAACTTTGAAGGGGAGCCGGCTGGCTGCCCAGAGTGCTGGTTCTTAGAAACAAGAGCATTCTGAATTAAAAGCAGCGTTACACAGGCTAACTGATGAGGTTAGATGGGAACAGGTTTCTGGAAGCAATGCCAGTAAGATAACTCTCTGCTGCTGACCTGGTATCCAGGCAGGGTATAGAGATGGCCATGCAATGTTCTCAGGACACAGCTCTTCTTTGGAGAGTCCTTGAACAAACACTCTGGGGGCTGAACGACCAGTGCACTCCCGGTTCCTCCCGTGTTGCACCTGTAATGGGTTGTCACTTCACAAGAGCTTGTGACTGGGGACTTCTGGGTTCTGAAGACATTCGGAGTGTGCTGGCTTAAAAGCAAACCCCGTGCCAGAGAGAAATAATGCTAGGTATACGTTATTCAGGGAGGTTCCTCAGGGAGGACACAGAAATGTGTAATGACCTTTTTCCTGGAGATTTTAGCAAAGGAGGAGGTCGAAGTAGGACCCTAGTTCGAGGGAGGAAAAGGTCACCCTCTTTGGTCAGCCAGGAGAAGAACCCACAGAGAGGGCAATGTGTGCATGGTCAGCTGCAGCCCAGTCATCTTCACAGGCAGGCCTTTCAGAAGCACACATTGTCTCTGTGGAAGGAAAAGCGAGCTGTGTGCAGACAAAATGCATGCAGACAGAGATAAAGGGGTGTGATAGCTAAGGTCATGTGTCAACTTGACTGGGCCAGGTTTCTCAGTGGTTTGGCAATTTAGGCCATCGGAAGAATATGATGTCATCTTCTCCACAATGAGGTCGGCTAGGAGCAAGTTTCCCTGGTGCTTTGGCCTGTTTCCAATATATGAGCCTCTCAGGCAAAGCTTGTTTGCTTTTTCCTGGGTCTGGATCCTGCCTCTGACTCCTCATCTGACCTTGGGTTTTTCTTGCCATCTGACCTGCTGACATTGGATCCATTCATCTCTGCAGCCAGAAGCCTGCCTTCAGACCAGCTGATCTTGAGTTCATCCTGCAGCTACCTGAGTCGGAAGAAGCCTCCACCCTGACATCTGACCCACAGATGTGGAACCTGTTTGATATAAACCTCTCCCTTTCTATATACACACACAGACGTTTCACTAGTTTTGATTCTTTAAGATAAAGGACTTTAAGTTTGTGGAAAACTGGAATTAAGAGGCAATGGGATTTTTCCAGGAACTTCTCAAAGGCTCCGTATCTGTAGGATCTATTCACTTCACCTTACGAGTTCCTGGGTGCCTATGGACTGCTAACTGGAATGCTGGTCATTCGAGTTTAAACACAGGCACCTCAGAAGAAAGGCCTAATGAACTACATCCCCAAAATCAGGCACTAAAATCCCGTGGCACACAGTTCTACTCTGATACACACCAGGTACCATGATTCAGAACGGACTCAGGACAACTGCTTTTTGCTTTATGGTTTTGTTGTTTTGGTTTTTTTTAAACCTTAACTTTGGTATGAGAAGTGCTACTGTTAAATTACAACCCAATCATGTTATTACTTATTTTATTTTTAGCCCTTGAGAGTTTCTTTCCAGAAAAATACATCATGCCATAAACATCAGACATGCCTGAACATGAAATCACTACCATCATACTTCAACAGGAACCTCAGGCACATTCAGATAAGATTTTGGTCAATGTTTTCACCGTGTGATCCATGAACAATCTGACAGCCACCACAGAAAAACCCCATGTTGGACACTCTCTGAGGACCGCCACAGGGTGTAGCCAGCTCCACAGCCCACTCTAACCACCCAGCACCACCAAGGAGCCGTCACGGGAGGGCTCTGGCCTCAGCCACTAGGGCCCTGCACTTTCTGGAACCCAAACCACCCTCCCGTGGTGTCCAGACCAAGAGACCCTGATTTTAAGGAAATCTCCATGGGTGCCTGCTCCCATGGAGATTTCCGACCTCGGAGACCCTAGGGAGCGGTCCTATTCTGTCCTATGATTGGGGGAGCTCTGAATTAGCAGTGGGTGCTTTGAAACACAGTCCCGGAGGAGTCCCTACATGGAGAAGTGGGGGACCGTTCTCCGCACGATGAAGCTGACCCTCCAACCGTCACCATGGTGACAGGACTAGACAAGCCAGATCTGCTTCAGGCCAAACCCAGACCCAGGCCGGGGCGGCAGGAGGTCCCGCCTCGGGCGTCATTTCACAGGGCGCACAGGTGACCCTGCCTATCTTTGGAATCAGGAGCCCAAGTGCCCCACACTGGCCCCAACGCTGCCCCCAGATCTGCAGAAGGGGCAACAAAAGCTCAAACACATTTCTAAAATAACAAAAACACGCCAATCCCCCCCCCCCAAAAAAAAGGGCGAGGGGCGCTCTTTCCTCTGTGAAGAAGGCCCAGGGGCCCTGCCCCCGCTGGCTGTGGCTCAGCAGCTTCCGCCAGGGGGCGCAGCTCAGAGCAGGTTCACGCCGTGCTTGAGCAGCTTCTGCTTGGCTTTGCCTGCGAGGCCAAAGGCGCCTTCCTGGGGACTGGGGAAACCCGAGCTCTGGGGCTGGGCGGCCAGCGGCTGGAAGTAGGTCTCCTGGACGGGGTTACAACAGGCGTACACAGCTGTGGAGGCATTCCTGCGGAAGAAGGTCCAAAATCAGCCCACCAGGACCCTGGGGAGCTGCGCTCAGGCTCCCAGTGATGAGCAGTACTGTGGCTACGGTGGCCCTGGCTGTAAGCACCTCGTCCTTGGAGACACCCACCCGCCTCTCCCACAGTGGAAGGACATGGCAGAGGGGGCAGTCTGACCATGAGTGAGGGATGGACAGCCACAGGACAGAAACCCAGGGAAAAGCCATTTGGGAGCAACTGGTTCAGGACCTGGGGTCTAGCTGGCCGCAGTCCTGCCTACTGTGGGACCTTTGTCTAGTCACATCCTCAGTGGACCTCAGTTTCTCCAAGTGAAGTCAGCGAAGGTAGAGGCCCCTCCCAGATCTTCCGTGGCCACCAATTTCTCAGGGTTTTAAGGGGCTTTGGGCCCCACCTGGCTTAGATACTGCAGCCACTCACTGGCCCTGCAGTCAGACACACCAGCCCTACCACTCCCTGGCTGTGTGCCCTTGGCTGAGTAACTTTCCCTTTCTGAGTCCCTTTGCTCAACCATAAAGGGGAGATGATAAGAGGGCTTATCTTCACAATGTTATTTTAAAGAGGCGAAGAAGGGAAAAATATGAGACCGTGCCTTAGAGAAGCTGAGCCCATGGTGAGTGATCAACAAACATTCCCTGTTTTTATTACCACAACTGAAATCATCTCCCAACAAACATCTTGAGCTCCTGATCGTGAAGAATCTTAAAGGTTAAAAAAAACCCTCTCAGGCAGGACCCTACCCAGAGAAGCAGTGATGCCTGAGATGGAGGTAGAGACGATGATGTGGAGAGATGGAAGTGTTGGGGACTTTAGACACAGAGAGGGAGAGGGGCTGTGTGCTGATGACTAGGGGGCAGGCTTGCAGTGTATACCCTTTGGTTGGTTGATGATGCATGGAGGGGATTATAACCATAGCAATGAAATGATATACTATAGGATGAATGTAAAACTAATGTTCGCCCATATAAACTATCACATAATTCACAATAAAATATTAAAAAACAAAACAAAACCCTCTCAGTTCCAAGGGAGTGTACACACTGAAGCCATAAGAGGCTTAGGGGATCAGAGGCTGACTTCACTTGCTTTTTCTTCAACAGAACACACACGCACACAGACATAAAGACACACAGAGAAGATATACATAGAGACCTACACAGGGACACAGACACACATGCCCAACACAACCAGTTCTCACACCAGTGACAGGATGGATACAAGTCCCAGTTCAGCTGCCAGCCTGGGCAGCTGGGAGAGACTGGTGGCTGCAGCAGCACCTGGCCTCAGGTGTGACGGGAGGCTGCACATTAGCTCCGACATAGGAACAAGACTAAGATGCCAATGCATGCATGTCTGTGAGGGTCTAGAGCCCACACCCTTCTCACGGGGCCCACAGCCTGGAAATGTGTGCAGAGAATATACATATTACAGAGGGACCTGGGTTCACATCCCGGCTCAGCCCCTCATTTATCCGGTGCCTCAATATCCTTGTCTGTAAAATGAGGAGGAAACACTAAGTGGAATCCTGTGTATAACAAGTGACCGCCAGCCCTCTGGCCCCATAACGTGCCTCATCGTCTGCTCCCAGTGTCACAGGAGAAGCATGAGAAGAAAAAAAGCCAGCCTGGCAGTCACATGCTGCAAGTCACAGCAATAATGCGCACTGACCGGGGGCTGGTCAAGGCACACAGTGAGGTGCAAAATTCAGCATGCAGCACATTAGTCTGATCCTACTTTTAAAAAGACCATTAAAATACAAATACACTCTGTATACAAAAACATAACCAAATTCAACAAAGTCTGAAGTAGCACATGAAACCACTCAGTGTGGGGGTTTCCCGAGTAGGTGATGGGGTGGGGAGGGGAGCATGTTCCGTTCTAAGTTAGGCCAACAACAACACTATTGAAACCCCACAATGACCAGGGAATCTAGCCCTGTCCTCAGTAATGATGGTGAGGGCCTAAGAAGTCTTCTTCACTGTCTTAACCCCAGAGCCCAGAGAGGGACTCAGCAAACCCAGGACCCCTGCATGAATGATGGCAGCAACAGGAGCCATGAGAGGCATGACTAGAATGTTCTTCCTTCCGGGGCCGAGCCTGAGATCAGCTAGCAGCGCAGGGGCACACTCACCTGACCGTCACCTCGTAGAGTGCAGGCCGCTGGGCAAAGTCAGAATGAACCAGGCTGACGGCCTGCAGGAAGCGGCGATCCTGGGCTGTGGCTACTGGCGGCAGGTTGGCTTCGGGAAGAGGACAGAGAGGCTGTGGTTGCAGACCCATGCCTCCCACCCAGCCAGTCCCCTGCACGGTCATCAGGCTCACGGTCAAGGATGTGGATGGTGAGGAGGACACAGGCAGAGAGGCATGGGGTGCTCGAGACAGCATACCCTATCCCTAGTGATGGGTAGCACCCAGTTCTGCACCCACCAAAGCAAGCCCTCTGCTGCCAAATCCATGCTGTCTCCCAGCGACCCTCTAGGGAAGAGAAGGATAGAACTGCTCCTTAGGGTCTCAGAGCTGTCAGTCTTCACTAAAGCAGGCTGCCACTGCTCCCTCAGAGGGGCAGAGGGGTTTGAACTGCCACCCTTGTGGTTAGCAACCCGACGCTTAACCAACTGTGCCATCAAGGCCTCAATGCACCAAAAACACTGTTGTCAAGTCAATTCCAACTCACAGGGAACCTGTAGGACAGAGAACTGCCCCCATAAACTTTCTGAGGCTGTCAGTCTTCACCGGAGCAGCTGGTGGGTTGGAACTGCCAAAGCTTATGGTGAACACTTCAATGCTTAACCCATTTCATCACCAGGGCTCCTTTGCAAAATAGTGGCAGACCTTCTCACACACATTTGAGCATGTGTGAGCGTCTCTCAACAATCACAAAAAAAGGGTCAAATGAGCAAATGGGTGCTTGCCAAGTGAAGCCCCATCTCGGCAGGAGCTGGGCTGCAAGTGAGTGCCATCTGCTTGGTATCTGATGCAGAATCTGCTCTCGGGTTTCCTTCTTTCCAGAGCACACCCGTTCACACCCAGGCCCTGATCCGTTCTAGGTGAATCTGAATTCCTCCTCCAGCCCAGGTCCTACCCTATGTGCCCCACTCACGAGGACAGCAAGCGATGTGATACTAGGCCCCATGCTGCCCACTCCTGAAGACACTCGCAGGGCCGGCTCCTTACCTGTCAATATGTTCTGAATGCTGTCGTAGTGGGTAAAGTTGTAGGCACTGCTCCCTGGGGCAGCCTGGTTCTGGGCGAGCATCTCCTTCAGATGAACCTCCAGCCCGTTCAAGGAGGCCAGGCTGCCATGGTACTGCAGGGGGACCAAGAGAGAGGATGAGGCACTGCTGGACTTGCCCTGGGGCCTCAAGAGGCTTCTACTTTTCCCAGGAACTTAGTTCACAAAGAATACCACCAATGTCACCTGTGTTCACTTCTTGGCCCCTGACCATCTGTGCCTGTTTTTAGAGTCACTAACTTCTACCCTTATGTTCTCTCTGTGTTTTCACATGAAGGACTAGCTTGCAGAAAATGAGAAAACATAGAGGCATCATGGAAAACTGGAATGGAAAGAGAATGAAATTTTCCCATGAACTTTTCAAAGCCCACTAGTAGAGATGAAGAGTCCTGGTGTTGCACTGTGGGTTAGGGTGCTGGACTGCAAGGTCGGCAGTTCAAGCTGCTCAGAAACCCTATACAGTGTCGCTATGAGTCAGAACTGACTCAATGGCACTTAACAACAACAGAGATGAGCAGGGAGAAAATGTAAAAGGAGAAAATCAGCAAAGAAAGATGACCCTGCTCTTCCCATCCACTTGAGAGCCACTGCTGACCATGGGGGATGTGCTGTGGGAACGATCCAGGAGGCCTGGCCTCCCAACACACTCCCCCCGCCTCCCTCCCCACAGCCTGGGCTGTGACCTTCTCCATCTCTCTGCTGAGCCCCTGGGGGAAGTAGCTTCACACTGAGCCGAGCCACACAGACAGTCCTCTGTGTTCTGGGGATCGCAGGAGGAACCCAGGAAGCAGGGCTGTCATGGAACTGAGGTTCAGGCACCTGGACTTTAAACCCTTCTACCAGCAGATAGGAGCCCTGGTGGTGCTGTGGGTTAAACACAAGGCTGTTAATCACAAGGTCGGCAGTTCAGACCCACCAGCCATTCTACAAGAGAAAGATAAGTCTGTCTGCTCCCGTATAGATTTACAGTCTCAGAAACCCTATGGAGCAATTGTGTTCTGTCCTGTGGGGTCACTATGAGTCAGAATGGACTTGATGGTAGTGGGTTTGGTTTTGGTCCATCAGGAGTTGAGAACGTTTTCATGTAAATCTTTTCTTACAAAATAAGAATGCAATCAAGCCATAAACAATGAATTAATCAAGTCTTTTAACCTAATGGGATAGCATGAACCCCCTTTTAAAATATTCTTCACCTTCCCTGTTCTAGAGCTCCGTTGTGGGCTGGGCTAAGGACACCTTAGTGATGGGCTCAGGCTGGGAAGGGGGCTTCCAGTGGTTCGTCCCATGAGGCCAGTGTTTCTCAGCGTCAGACAGCTCGCCCAGGCAGATGCTCTGGCTCTGACAGAATGGCCCAGGCTACGTAACGAGTGTTCTGTGCCTCAATTTCTCTGAGAAGTGGGCTACCATGCAGAGCTGCTGAGTGGAGGGAGTGAGGGAACACATGCAAAGGTCCTCTCTAGGCTTTTAAGTGTTACCCTGAGGCATGGCTTCTAAAGAGTGGCACTAAATGACAATTCGTGTTAGTATGCGGCACAAGGTCAGCAGTGGGAACCCACCAGCTCCTCCGAGGGAGGGAGAAAGAGGAGGTATTCTGCTCAGGTGAAGACTGACAGCCTTGGAAACCCTATAGGGCAGTTCTCCTTTGTCCTAAAGGGTTGCTATGAGCCGGAAGCAACTCGATGGCAGTGGGTTTGGTTTTCTGGTCTCTTGAGGAGGACAGGGAATCCTGGTGTGTCATTGTAGGATAAGCACTGACTGCTAACCACAAGGTCAAACCCACTAGCCATTCCTTGGACACCCTATACAGGGTCACTATGAGTTGGAACGGACTCAACGGCGTTTAGTAACAACAACAAAGGCAGTGGCAGCAACAACAGACTCACACGTTAACAACTGTGAGGATGGCGCAGGCCGGGCAGTGTTTCCTTCTGCTGTGCATGAGGTTGCTATGAGCTGGAGCCTAACAACGGCACCTAACAACAAGTAGGAAGATGGAGAACTTGTCTGTGGACTGATGACTGTCAACAGCCATGTGAGAAAGCTGAGTGCACACCACCAGGCCAGAAAGGCAAACAGAAGGCTTCGGAAGTGATGGCTATGGAGCTTGGGGGTTGTTCTGTTGGTGCATTGGCCTTCAATCAGTAATGTCTCAGGAGTAAAAGCACACATGGCTTTATTGCATGCACTCATCTCTGTACCTATAACCCCTCGCCGAGTTCCAGGCCTCTAGTAGGCATTAATTAAGTGGTTGAATAAATGTGGCCAATGCCGTGCATATACAACTTGGGAGATGTCATGGATTGAACTGTATCCCCACCAAATATGTGCCAACTTGGCTAGCCCATGCTTCTCTGGTTTGACAGTTGTGTAATGCTGTAATGGGACAGTTATGTGATGATTCCCCACGTTAATCTGATGTGATAAACCAGCCAGTTGTTAAGAGGTTAAAGGTGGAATGTCCTGATCCACAGTCAGGGGCATTTCCCTGGGTGTGCTCTGTAACCCTTTAATCCTACAAGAGACAAAGGAGAGAAGTAAGCATCTCAGAGAGTGGCACCTACTTCCACCAAGACAGAAGAGCCAGGAGCAGAGGGCAGTCTTTGGATCTGGGGCTCCTGACCTCTGAAAATCCTAGACCCAAGGGAAGGCTGATACCAAAACACAGGGATCTCTGAGGGACGCTGAAAGGAGACAAGGGCCTTTCTGCGGAGCTTGGACTTGTGGGCTCCTAAACTGTGAGATCATAAACTTCTGTTTGGTAAAGCCGTCCCTGCAGGGCATTTCTGTTCCAGCAGCGCTAGAGAACTAAGACAGGAGCACTCTGCAGAGTACAAGGATGTATGTTCAGGAGGGACAAGACCCATCGCTCAGGCTGGGATCCAACCAGTTTAACAGATGCTAATGAGCCTATCTGAACTAGCGTGTGTGTGCCCACGTGCATGTGTATGAATGTGTGTGCACATGTGCAAGCCTTCCTCATGATGTCACTGGTAGCTGCTGATACACAGGAGACTGGTAACCATTGCGTCTCCCCTCCCAGGCCAGTAGACAGAGGAAGTGAGGCAGGTCTACCCTGAATTTTCCTGCAGGCATACAGCCCCACTGCGGGAGTCTCTTCAGAACTTATACTCTAGAGAAAAATCAAGAAACCAGAAATGCAAGAGATTATGTTTGATGACATGAGGACCTTTTTTTCTTGTTTTTCCTGATGCCCAAGTCCATTCGCATACAAGGGGGATTCAAAACACGGAAACATGGAATTAAAAGATAATTTTTCCAACTTTCTGATAGTCACTTGGACACCTGGGGTCAGCAAACTCTGGCTGCCAGGCCAGGCCCAGTCTGTCACCTGTGTTTGTACAGCCTGCCAACAAAGGATGTTTCACATCTTTAAGTGTTGGAAAATTGGGTCAAAAAAAGACGACTTTGTGACATGTGAAAATAGCCTGGGATCCAATGTCCAGGTCTGTAAGACGGGCTAGTGGCGCACACTGACTCCTATCTACGGCAGCTCATGCACACCACCAGCGGGCTCTCAGAGTTACGCAAAGCTGAAAATATTGGCCACCTGGTCCTTTCCAGAAAAAGTCTGCCAACCCCTCATATATGCTACTACTCTCAGAGTTCTGGTGTGGCGCTGTAGGATAAGCATTGGACTGCAAGGTCAGTTTGAGCCGCAAAGTTGGTGGTTCAAGCTCACCAGCCGCTCCTTGGAAACCCTATACAGAGTCGCTATGAGTCGGAACCAACTTGATGGCACTTACCAACAATGTGACCCTCAAAGTGGTCACAAAGGAGTCTTGGTGGTGCAGTGGTTGAGCTGTGCGCACAGCCGCTAGTGAGGAGGCGGTGTCTAGAGCCTACCCAGTGGTTCTATCTGGCGTGCTGCTCCTGCAGAGATGTCAGCCCTGGATGCCCCGTGGGGCAGCTCTACTTGGCCTTTGAGGGTGTTTGGAGGCTAACTAATTACCAATTGCCAGTCGATTTTGACTCCTGAAAACCCCATTCGGGTCAGAAAACCCTGTGCTCTGCAGGCCTCCGCTGGCTGGTTTCCTAGAAGTAAACTCTCCAGCTGAGGCCGACACTTGTTGTTGTTGTTGTTGTTAAGTGCCGTCGAGTCGGTTCCGACCCATAGCGACCCTGTACAGGGTTTCCGAGGGTGTAAATCTTTTACGGGAGTAGAAAGCCTCATCTTTCTCCCGCGGAGCGGCTGGTAGTTTCGAACCGCTGACCTTAAGGTTCGCAGCCCGATTCGTAACCACTACGCTACCAGAGCTCTTTAGCAATCCTATTTGTTGATATATAGTGCCATTGAGTCAGTCCACCTCATAGTGACCCTGTATAGCGTTTATAAAGAGCAGCTGGTGAGTTTGAACTGCTGATCTTGCAGTTAGCAGTCTAGTGTTTACCCTACAGTGCCACACCAGGACTCCCTAACGACCTGATAGGACAGTTTTTAAAACTTGTCAGTCTTTACGAGAGCTGACTGCCATGGAGTGGCTACATTGCCTTGTAGCTAGCAGGCCAATGCTTAACCCAACGTACCACCATGACTCCTCAAATTCATCAATTAGCTGGGGCAAATTCCTAGACCTTCCTGACTTTTCATCTATACCAAAGTCAATGGCTATAAATGGGAGGGAGTTTGTAGCATCCGGAACACAGGCTCCCTTAGCAATCCTAGTGTCATGAGGGTGGGGAGAGGGTGATTGAATTTCTCAACAACACTCACACTGGCATCAGCCCAAAGGCCCCATGCAGCCATGACTAGCTGCCTGTGAAGGGCACCACCGCCTGGTTCTGGTTAGAACCAGAACCCATCCTTGGCTCTCTGCTGCCCCCTGGTGTGAGCCTTCTCTCATTGTTCAGAATCTGACCTCCTCTGACCCCAAACACACAGGTGGGGAGTGAACCACTTGAGGACAAGGCACTAACTGAAGGTTTGTAAGGTCTGAAACATAACCAAGGGGTGGGGTTCAGGGCACATCTGGACCGGAGTGTACCATTCTGCAGGTGACTGGTGGCAGGGATCCAGGGAGAACTAGGTCAAGCATTTTAGATGCATGTCTGTAGGACAATAGAAGATTCCTCCAGGTTGCATCTGATCAGTAAACCAGCAGGCTAATCCTTCGGTGTAGAAAGACGAGTTTTCGTCTCCCATAAAACCTCATCGTGAGATCAACTAGAAGAAGAAAGAAGAGGAAAAGAAGCAATCTGATACAATTTGATGAACTTGACCTACACCTATGGATGCAGTAGCTTAAAAGAGGGAACAAATCTTTACAGCAAGGATCATTCCCAACCCCTCCATACACAGGGTAGACAGGGATGGGCAATTTGGACACTGGCTACTCAAAATGGAGGGGTTGGTTGGTTATGTGCCGTGGAGTCGGTTCCAACTCATAGCAACCCTGTTCAGGGTTTCCAAAGCTGTAGATCTTTACGGGAGCAGAAAGTCTCATCTTTCTCCTGTGGAACAGCTGGTAGTTTTGAACTGCTGACCTTGAGGTTCGCAGCCTGATTCGTAACCACTATGTTCCTTAAAATGGGGTGGGGGTGGGGGGAGTACAAAGGCAAGAAGTGACTGGCTTACAAGCTTTCAAGAGGGAGCCTAGATCCAGAGGGCGGAGGAAGATAGAATCTCCACTGAGTAGTATCCAATCTGTCTGGGCGGGACTGATGAAAGGAGATGGGGATAGGTCTCTTGTAGTACAATAGTGAATAATTGTTATCAGGACTGACTGTGAGGGTTGGAAATGTAAAGGTAGACATTTTGTAGTAAAAGGAGGGGAGTGGTTGACTTTGCAGTCCAGGAGCCGAGGTCTCTGGGACCATCAAGGGGGAAAAGAGGAGTGCGGGACCCTACCCAGAGAAACAGTGATGCCAGAGATGGAGGCAGAGATGATGACGTGGAGAGATGGAGTGGCTTGGGATTCTAGACCCAGAGAGGGAGTGGGGCTGTGTGCTGATGACCAGTGAGCAGGCTTGCAGGGTATACCCTTTGGTTGTTTGATGACGCATGGAGGGAATTGTAACCATGGCAATGTTTAATGATGAATAGGATGAATTTAAAGCTAATGTTCTCCATGTAAACTATCACATAATTCACAATAAAAAAACAACAACAACAATAAAACGCATCATTTCTTGAGGCTTACACAGAATCACCGTAAGTTGGAATTGACTTGCTGGCAAGTAACAACCACCCAGCATGAATTCCTACTTTATAAGCATCCCAGGAGGCTGTTGTCATAACAACATGGGTGGGCTTTGACAAATCAAGTGGTATCACTGTATATCAAGAACAGGGAAGGCAGGGTCTAACCCCTTTGATTACCTTCCCACCTATCACTGTAAGGGCAGAGCAGTGGGAAAGCAGAGGCTGGAGCAGGGTGGGGTGGGGAGGGAGAAGAAACAAGTGGAAATTTTTGACCTGCATATTGTATCCTACTTTTATCTTAACGAGTCTGCTTCCCAATTGGTTAAAATGGACTGTCAATGCCTAGCTCACAGGGCTGCTCTAAGGCTTGGCTGAAATAAAAAGATAGCAAGTACTTAGCAGATACTGGACTTCTGGTATGGTGCTGTGGATCAGCACTGGCCTGTGAACCACAAGGTCAGCAGTTCAAGCCCAGCAGCTGCTCCTCAGAAACCCTACACAGGGTCACGATGAGTCAGAACCAACTTGATGGCACTAACAACAACATTTAGCACATGACCCAACTCCTCCCCACTGCCATCGAGCCCATTCTGAGCCACACAGCCCTGAAGGACCAAGGAGAACTGCTCCATCTATGTGGGAGCAGTCAGTGGGCTAGAACCACCCACTCCTAGTGCCACGTTGATCCCGCGGTGCCTCCAGGGCTCCTATTTAGCAACCAGGTGACGGAGAAGAGATCTTAAAGTACTTTGTCCTTAAGGAGCAGCCAGCACTGCTGCTGCCTTTTCCTTATGGGAAGGGAAGTAATGAGACAGACACTGAAGCCCTTTACTGCATGCACACCCTAAGCCTTCATGGGTCCTGCGTCTCAGTGTTGTACAGAACAAAAATAACTCACAGCCACCCTACCGGCCTAAGGAGAACTCCTTCTATCTGTCTATATAGGAGCGGATGGCCTCATCATTTCCTATGAGCGGCTGGTGGGTTTGAACCACTGACTTTTTGGTTAGTAGGCCAAAGTTTAACCTATCACGCCACCAGGGCTCCTTCTGTGCAGAGTGGATGAGGAAAATGGGGGCTGTGCGTACATGGGGGGAAATGCACAGCACTGTGACCACAGCTCCCCAGGCTGCTAGAAAGCCTGACTCCCCTCCTCCTTCGGGCTCCAAGGTGACTCACTCAGAGACTGGGGAAGCAGCATAGAGATTTACAAGGGGAAAGACACAAAGCCCAGGACGCCTTTGCCCTGCAGCAATCCTAACCTGCAGTCTCCCAGCACCTCTTTCCATGACAAGTAAAGCACTGCTGTTACTATAGCAACGGAACCTCCAGAAGCTTCCCTGACTGCTCAACATGGGGAAGGGGCCGGCCAGGGGTTTAAGACAGCCCTTCAGGCCAGGTGGGCTTTTGGATGTCCTCCAGGTAACCAGGCTGTTTCCCGAAGACTCCCAGCCCAGGCCACGGGGGCAGAGGTCAGGGCTCCCAGCCAGGGAAGTGAGAGCATGGCAGCTGCTGCAGCAGTGGCAATAGCCAGGCCTGTGCGGGGAGGGCAGCGTCCCTTCTCACCCCAAACTACTCAGAGGGAAAGGCGTCTGGTTGGACCTCTCCTCCCTTTAGGGCAGACTGGAAGGGGCAGAGACCACACGCTGTGGGTGCACTAGGTACCACGCTGCGTGCTGCATTCAACACCTGACCCCAGTTCTCTCTCTCTCTCTCTCACTCACACACACACACACCCACACACACACACACACACACACATGAGATCCTTCTCCCTCCCCATGGAGACCTACGTGACCCCAGTTTACACACGCAGTCCTACTCCTCCCCACAGAGACCTACATGACCCCAGTTTACACACACGGTCCTCAGAGTCGTCTCTGACTCACAGGGACCCTGTGGGATGGAGTAGAACTGTTCACTAGGGTTTCTGAGACTGGCAATCTCTGCAGCCTCAGCTTTCTCTCTCAGAGCAGTTAGTGGGTTTAAACTGCCTACCATCACTTAACCCATAGCGCCACCAGGGCTCCCTCCGGGAGCTATAGGCATCCCTGTGTGTCAGGGTGGGCTGTGTGGAATGGTCCCTTCAGCCTACATAGGCTCCCAGGAAGTAGAAGGCTGGGAGTGCTGGGGGCTACTCACCACCTCCTTGATGGCCGAGTCATCCCCCAGCAGCGGCTCCTTGGCCAGCAGGGCCAGCACCAAGCCCTTGACACTGTGCGTGTACAGACTCATCCTCAGGAGGGGCCCGGCAAGAGGGCCCGCACTGTTCTCAGTGGCCCCAGTGTGCTGCTTCTCCCTGGGAGGGTTCCCTTCTGCAGGTTGCTGCTGGGAAGCTAAGGGAGATGGTACCCCAGTACTGAAAGGGAGAACACACGTGAAAGGGCAGCAGTGTGGGGACGAGGGGCAGCAGGAATGTCTACTTCCTGCTGACCACAAGACATTCCTGGGTCCATTGTACAGATGGAATAATTGAGGTTGAGAGAGGGAATTGAACGCACCCAGGTCACAAAGCACATCAGTAACAGCTCTGGGATGGAAGTCCACGCCCGTCTCACCGCTAGGCCCTCCCTGCTATCCCTTGTCCACATGCTGTTGCCCTTTCAGGTGCTCCCTCACAAAGTAGAGGACTGGGGAAGGTGGACAGAAGGAAGGTGAGATGAACCAGGGGCTCCTGTGAGCTGGCTTACCTTGGCACCCGCTCCACCATGAACTCACAGAGACCAGTGGCTTCCTCTTCGGTCACAAACACAGGCATGACCTGCACATTGGGGGGAAGCTCTGCTCCTAGAATTGAAAAGTGACAGGCACAGGGAGCTTACCTCTTGGGTGGACAAAACAGAGGGGTGATGGGTCCCACCTACCTGCCAGCCCAGATAGGTTCATGCCCTGATGGCGCTGGGCAGCAAGGAATGAGCCCACTTGGGCCCCATGACCCACGGCTGTGTAGAAGGGAGATGTCCACTAAAAGATAGTTGCATGACACTTACAAAAGTGATAGAAGGCATATTCCCCAGCCTATGTCCCTAAACCAAACAGAGCCCCGTTCTCGGGCTCGTCCACATCCTGCAGCATTTTGGCAGCACTCCAATGTCTACACTAACCCACACACTGTCTCTGGGACTTGTCTCTCAATACCGGGGTTAAAATCTAAAACCACTGCCCTTGAGTCGATGCCAACTCACAGAGACCCGAAAGGACAGACGAGAATTTCTCCAAGACTGTCAATCTTTATGGGAGCAGACAGCCTCATCATTCTCCTGAGGAATGGCTGGTAGGTTCAAACCAACTTTTGGGTGAATGGTGGAGAGCTTTAACTGCTGTGCCACCAGGGCTCCCAGCTTATTGAGGCGGCCCTAAAATGGGGGTTTAAAAGGTCTAACTAAAGAACAAGCCTGGCAGTTCAGACTCTGATGGCATACCTTGTTCACACAGCTGTACGTTTGCATCTTCCTAACCTTATGACCAGATGAACTAGACGTATGGGGACCCTCAGCCTCTCAAAGGGTTTGTGCAGGGGCAGGTATACTACTCACCCTGTCCCTGCAGGACAGCCGGCCTCGTAGGTGCTCCCTGCAAAGAAAAACAAACACAGGTCGGGCAGGCAGTGGGCCATCTGTTCAGAAAATGTCGCCAGACCCAGACAGCTTGTCCCAGTGCCAGGCCAGGAGCAGAACAGATGGAACAGAAGCTAGGCAAGCTGCTGGCTCCCCCCACAGCGGGGCCCAGCACAAGACTGGGCCCGCACGAGCTGACAGGCAGCAGCTGACACACAGCCAGCTCATGCGCATGTCAGACTGGCTCAGTCTCTGCCCTCTGGGTCCGAGAACCAGAAGTTGGTCCTGCTAATCCTCACCCTTGGGGAACTGGTAGGCTGGAATCCAGTCACGTTGGTCACAGCCCTGACCTGATGGCTGTCCAGCCACTCTACCCCTTCTTCACCTGGTTAACCCAGCAGCATGCAATCCATTATATCTATTAGTGATAAACGTACAGAACACCAACATTCACTGAGTTGACTGCATGTCATGTGCTGTCTGAACTCCTGTAATCCTCCTGACAATCACGTGCATGCGAGAGAAGCACTTGTGCAGGACCGAAGTCAGCAACCATGCCTGGTCTACCCCAGTGCAGTGCAGAGCCCGAACCCACAGCCGGATACTCAACTCCTCTAAGACAGAGCAGGACCGCTCCCTGGGGTCTCCCAGGCTGTCAGTCTTGACGGGAGCAGACAGCTCATCTTGCTGTAACTCCCCTCATTCCCCAGCACTCAGCTCTCCACCTCCTCCTTTCACAACCTCACCCCCAGCAGCTCCATGGGAGAAACCTGGCAATCTGCTCCCAGAAAGACAACCACCGAGAATAACCGCTGAGGCAGATCTACTGTTACACCGGGTCACTATGAGTGAGAATCGACTCACTGACAGCCAGTAAGAGCAGATGCAATTAAGGATCCATGTCCCGAACAAATATCAGCCGAGTCCAGGAGTCCAGGATGGGTATAGGAGTGATGACAGACCTGTTGAACCTCTCAGATTTGTACGTCTGCCTCCCCCATCAGCTCATGCCTTCCCAAGCCCCAGCGCCTGGGCTGTTCCTCTTGTCTGGGTGAACGGAAGTCTGGGACGAATGGTGCCCAGTGCCACCTCCTCACGCAGCAAGATGCCATTAGAACACCGCCTGAAAGCCTCATGCCTGTTGATTTCTCAGGGAACACACATCCTCATCTTTCTCCTTTGGAGTGGGCAGTGGGCTTGAACCACCAACCGTGTGGTTCACAGCCCAACACTTAACCCACTGCACCACCTGGGCTCCCTGAAGGTTCAAAAGGACCTGCCAAAACAAAACAACAGACAAACCAAACAACAGCTCTTCTAGACAAAATAGCTTTCCTTTGTCGTTTCTTCTAGACAAAACAAGCTGGCTTTGTCTCCTTTCTTCAGTGATTGAAAACAAAACCCTGTTTTAGACCATTAAAACCACACTGTTGTTGTTAGGTGCTACTGAGTCATTTCTAACTCATAGAGACCCTGTAAAACGTTTCCAAGGAGGGGCTGGTGAGTTTGAACTGTTGACCCTGTGGTTAGCAGTCCAGTGCTTATGCCACAGCACCACATCAGGGCTCTGTTAAAGTCATACATAGAGCTTATTCACTGATTTTAGGTAAGTTATTTCTTTACATGTGATACTGAAAGTGCCATGGACTGCCAAAAGAACCAATAGATCTGTTTTGGAAGAAGTGCAGCCAGAGTGCTCCTTGGAGGCCAAGATGGCTAAGCTTCACCTCTCATACTTTGGACATATTGTCCAGAGGGAACAGTCGCTGGAGAAGGATACTGGGTAAGGTGGAGGGTCAGAGAAAAAGGGGAAGACCCCTAACAAGATGGATTGGCCAGGTGGCATCATTGATGGACTCAAGTGTGGCAGCGGTAGTGAGGTTGGCCCAGGATCAGACATTGTTTCGTTCTGGTGTGCATGGGGTCACTATGAGTCGGTTCCGACTTGATGTCACCCGACAACAACAACAACAAATACCCAGGAAAGTATGGTGGAGCCAGTATTCATATACACATACATGGATCTATAGATGACTGACTCACAGCTATTGTTGCAGTTAGGTGGTGTCGAGTGGTTCCAACGCACAGCAACCCATATGCAACAGAACCAAACCCTGCCTGGTCCTGCTTCATCCTTACAATCAGTCCTACATTTGAGCCCACTGTTATAGCCACTGTGCCAATCCATCTCACTGAGGTGGATAGATAAGAGGGAGCTTCAAAAAGTTCATGGAAAAATGTAATTGAAAGATAATGGAAAATTTCCAGGAACTTAATGAAGCTTCCTCGTATATATAAATCATGTATACTCCATTTATCCAAAGCTGACAGTGTTCATAGTTAGAACCTATTTCCTTATCCTTTTTAGACCACATTACATACAATTCCATTTTTCTGTTTCAGATGGTCACCTGCAATTCCTGTTGCTAAAATGTCGTTGGCCGTTTTACATGGTTTACTAAAAGCTAGTAAGGATTAAAGTGATCTGAGAGAATGCATCGCTCCCAGCTCTTAAGCCAGAAGTTGACATACTTTCTCGGAAGAGAACTAGTGAGTGAATACTTTTGGTTTGGGGGCTGTACGGTCTCTGCTTGGACTCCTGGTGTGGCGCTGTAGGATCAGAACTAAACTGCAAACAACAAGGTTGGCAGATCAACCACCAGCTGCTCCTTGGAACCCCTCTACAGGGGTCTCTGTGAGTCAGAACCAACTTGATGGTACTTAATAACAACAACACAGTCTCTATTGCAAACACTCAACCCTGCTGCTGACATTCCCAAGCAGCCAGGACAGGAGGTAAGGAAGGGGGGGGGGGCAGGGGTCAGCAGTGCTGTTTGTAGGGCCCACAGGCTGAGGGTAGCTGGCTGGTACCCTAGGTAAGCCCATGGTGGTCTCATTTTGAGTGTCCCATCTTTCTTACAGCCTTTTGATGATTTTGCTACGGTGGACTCCTAGAAGGTGAATTATTAGGAAAAGGAAAGGATATCCCCTGAGCTCTTACAGGCCAACCTGAAAGTGTGTTCTGTTCTGACGGCCACCACCAGCTATGCAACATCCACTGACTTAGTACAGGTAGCCAGCTAGCCTTCTTTGTACACCACTCAAGCACAGGACTGGGGCAGGGGTGTCACCAAGCAGCCCGATTGTGGGCACCGTCAGTCCCCCATACTCTTCTTTAACCTGACGTTTACCAACAATAAATAAAAACAATGAATCAATGCAAAAGTGTGTCCCGCCTGCCCCTGCTTCCCTAAGCACTGCTGGAGATACATCTTTTATAGTCTGCCTCTCGGAATCCAACTGCACGGACACAAAGCCAGCCTTGTAGGAAGTGAAATCGGCCTCATTCCGTGTGGTCTGAAGAAAAGCTAAGGCTTGATGCCAATAGCACACAAGAAAACCTGTCCCTTCTGTCTCATCAGCGCTTCCTCCATACAAAGGCCACACCGAGGGATGGGGTTGGGATGGGGTTCTGGTATGGTGAACTGCATCAGCACCCCCACGGTGCCCTCTATGGCCAGTCTCAGCGGATTTCCCCTGCTGCAGACTCTGCAGTAAGCGAACTGTGCCCCAAAAAATATGGTGACACTGTCTACCCCAAACCAAACCCAGTGCTATTAAATCAATGCTGACTCAGCGAGCCGTCTAGAGTTTCCGAGACTGTCCATCTTTATGGGAGCAGACAGCCTCATCTTTCTCCCTCACAATGGCTGCTGGGCTTGAACCACCGACTTTGTGGTCAGCAACCCGACACCTAATCCACAACATCACTGGGCTTCTTAATTCATGCTCTCCTGGTATGGCACTGTAGGATAAGAACTAGACTGCTAACCATAAAGTTGGCAGTTCAAACTCACTAGTTGCTCCTCAGAAATCCTGCACAGGGTCTCTATGAATCAGAACCAACAATAGTAATATGACCTTGTTTGGAAATAAGGACTTGGAAGGTGTTATCAGTGAAGTGAGCATGCTGGAGTCAGGTGGGTCCTGTCCTGAGAAAGGAGGAGGAAAGGCAGCAAGGAAAGCTGCCACGTGATGATGCATCCAGAGGCCGATGAGAGCCAAGGACACCCGGGAAGGCTCCTCCCTAGATCCCAGAGAGAGCCAGCACCGTGACCTCAGGGAACTGAATGCTGAGTGCTCTGTTTCTGTTCCTACAAGGCCTCCTCCGGTGGTGCTTTGTCGCAGCAGCTCTAGGAAGCAGACATGAGCTTAGAGGCCCTGGGTGGGGCACTCCTGCTGGCCAGATGAGCTTCACAATACCTTGTCGTGAGGTGCCACATGGTGCAGCAGGACCTTGGCGGTGAGGGATGGCGGTAGCTGGGTGCTAACAATCCTAGGAGGTGAGACACAGGAAGGAGACACACTGACAAACCCGGAGTTTCCAAAGGTTCCTAATGTCCCGTGGAGGTGGTGAGAGTTTCAACAGGTAAAGCAAGCCCTTAGGGAAGGTGTTTGGGCAGCTCCTACCAAAATGTCCAATGGCCAAAGCCCTCACCCTGACCTGCACTTAGAAGCATGCACAAGGAGAGTCACTGCAGTAATACTGTCCTTGTAAAAATGAGCAAATAACGCGTGTCAGAGAGTGGTTAAAGAAACTGTGGCACAAGCCTTAACAACAAAACATATGCAGCCACTCCGAGAACACGGCAGAGCTGTACCAACTAATGGGGAACAGATCTGTGGCACAAATGGTTGAATGCTCAACTAGTAACAAGAGGCTGGCAGTTCCAATCCACCCGGATGCACCTTGGAAGAAAGGCTTGGCAATTTACTTCCAAAAGGGTATGGGGATGCCATGAGCCAGAACAAACGCAATGGCAACTGGCTCTGGGTTTAGTCTTGTTTTCATAGGGAATGACTAGGAAATCTCTAGGAGCCAGAAAGTGAAGAACCATGAGATCCTATTTATGTGAACAGCAAAATCAACAGATGCGCACATGTACACGTGTGTGCAAACCAGGGCTTCAAACCACTTTCTTCCCAGCTCAGTCACGGCAGATAAGGTGAAGTCAGAACGAACCTGAATCTGTAAAGTGTGGGTGTACCAGAACGATAACCAGAGGGGGCAAATCACAGGTTCTCCTGCTAGAAGCTAATCCTCTCTCTTGAAAACAAGGGCAGCATATGTGTGGTACAGCAATCAAACCTCTTGACAGCCAAAGTCTGAAACAACAGTGCCCGACTCAAAGATGGTGGCCTAGCATGCCACTCTGGATGTGTGGTGTTCTCCACAGTCCTGGCAACAATCCAATCTCCCACTTCAGGGTCCTGGGAGGTTCACCAAGCCTCTCTGGTCTCCCATTCCAGCACTTCCCCCCTAATTCTTCCTGTTCTAGTTAGCTTTCTGCTGCACCTGCATCTTTTAAAATTTGGGTCTGTTCTGATTTCACATTTGTTGGCTGATCAAAGCCCTGGTGAGCACACAGTGACAGAGCAGTGGAGGGGCCACCTCACTGCTAATAGTGGAGATGGGGTGAGGGGAAACTTGTAAATTCTCTATGAGCTTTTCATTTTTGCCATGAAAATATCTTTATACATTAGTTGTGATATTTTAAATACAAGTGAAAACCAGCTGCCATGAAGTCAATTCTGACTCACAGCAGCCCAGGAACTGCACTCCATGGGGTTTCCATGGCTGCTGTTTCAGAAGTAGATGACCAGGTCTTTCTTCTGAGGTGCCTCTGGGTGGAACTAAACCTCCAGTTCCATTTGCAGCTGAGCATTTCAACCCTGAGTAAAGGTGATCGCTGGTGGCTGTGTACCAATCAGCCTCTAAAGCACCAGACCCCAGACCTGCTGTGCTCATGCTCCCCCCCACCGAATCATACACTGAGGTGAAGTACCTGCTCAAGGCCCCCAAGTGGATAGAAAAGAGACCAGAGCTCAGGCCCAGGCAGTGAGGCTCAGAGTCCCAGCAGGCACCTGGAAATTTGGGACATTCTGGTCACAGCGCCATGGCCCTGCCTGCCCTGGACTGTGTGCTCAGACTCATGAGGAAGCTCTCAAGGCTGTGCTTGCGTAGAGCCCAGCTGGGCCGCCAACTCCAGCCTGGGGGAAAGCCTGCAATGCACTCAGCCAAACTGAGTCACAGAGAAGGAGGTGACAGTGCTTTCCCTCACATGCTGTCTGCTGGCAGGGCTGGAGGCTTGGCCTTCTGCAGACAACCCCAAAGGAAACCTGAAGAGACTTGCCCCACCCAGATGCTGGCAAAACACCACATCATTCCAATAGCCCATTCCTTTTGAAAGGCCCCAGTCAAACCTAGACACCTACTATTTGCCACCCCAGCCCACCTGGTGTGAGAGACAAAGCCCGTTGCCTGGCTGTGGCAGGAAGGCAGTGGGAAGCCGTTGCTGCCTTGGAGAAGCTCCGGTGCTACTCACAGGCCCTTGTGGAGGATGCAGCCGGCAAGGATGTGAGGCGAGCGCTGGCAGGTCTGCAGGATGAGGGTGGCTTTCAGCAGCAGCAGGGGTTCCACCTGTGTACACATGAAGAGCACCCCGTAAGCATGCACCCCACCCATCAGCCCTCCTGCCAAAGCACAAGTCCCACTAGGATACAGAAGGCTCGACACCCATCCGGGTCCCATACATCTATCCCAGTCCAGGAAATGGGCCCTACAGAGGATATACTTGCTTCCATACTCCCTAAGGAGACAGCTGCCTGGGGGTTCCCGAGAGCTGACCTGGTCCTGCAGCCAGACCCACCCAAACCCAATGCTGTCCAGTCATTCTGACTCGGAGCGACCCTACAGGACAGAGAACTGCCCCATAGAGGTCCCAAGGCTGTCCACCTTTACAGGAGCAGACAGCCTCATCTTTCTTCTCTGGAGTGGCTGGTGGCTTCCACCCGCCTTGCAGTCAGTAGCCCAACACTTAACCCACCACACCAGCAACCGCTGGCTTCGATGTCAAATGGTTCGAGTTTCTGTTGTTGCTTTATTTGAGTCCCTGAGCACGGTCTCGGGTCACTTCAAGTTCAGCACTGTCTCAATTTCTCATGAAAACAGTCCTGGGAAGCAGGGCTGACTTCTCCAGTCCATGGTATGGAAAGCGGGTTAGTCTCTAGGAGAGATCTAACTCCCCAAGCTCACACAGCCAGTGAGCAGAGCCGTGCATGGGACGTGAGTGCAGGTTGCAGTCACTCCCCATACTGAGAAATGACCCATGCCAGTCAAGGAAAAAGAGAAGGGATGGAGAGTGGGGGCAAACTGGGTTCTGAAACATAAATGGATGAGGAACAAGGGGGCCTTACTTTCGTTCTGTCCAAGTTCCAAAGGGAATTGAATATCTTATGCAGATCACTGGTGTTTTGCAGAATTTGCTCAATGAAGGCGTCCCACTGCACGCTCAGTTCTTCCTGAGAAAAATTCTACAAAGGAGAGCCTGGAGTCAGTGTTTGAGATTTTGAGACACAGTGTCTGTGGTAAGGACCCCTAGGAGCTCAAAGAATGGTTCTTCACATGGACACCAGCCAGAAGGGCTGTGTGAGACTGCCTACTCACAACAGAGCCCCCGCGATGCCCTCAGGAGCCTCCCTGACCATGGGCACCTGGGGGGCCAGGCTGGCAGCCAGGCTTGCTCTTTCTCGAGGAGGAAAGTATGATGCCCCTGGGAATGAGCACAGAACAGGCCCCAGAGTCAGTGTTCTCTTCCAGACACCTCAGCCCCTCAACAGAGACTCGTACCTGGTAAGCCAGAGAGACAGGTCCATTGTAAAAGCAGAAGCAGCCGATGAGCTGATCCAGAAACTTCTTGCAGCTGATGTCTGGGAGCTCCACAGTACAGCCCAGGACCTGCAAGGAGGGAAACCACGAGGGCTGGCTTTGCCCTTCCTTTACCCCAACCCACAACTTGGACAGCCAAGCTCACTATAGCTAGACCTCCTGGACCCAGCCCAAGTGTGGTTCCACTGCCCACGCTGGTCTCCCTCTAACGACGTGTGTTGGCCAGTCTGAAATGGCCTTCTGCAGATTCTACGCCTCCAGCCAAGGTGGACCAAGGTGGGCCTCTCTCTGACTCCTTCTGTTGTAAGGACTGCAATTTGGAAACGATTTCACGGGGTCTCATTACTAACACTGGACCCAGGGTCTGAAACCATTTCAAACATGAAGGAAGAGCTTGGAAAGCAGGAAATGACCAACTCGTACAGTTCTAGGTGCAAAGGGCTGAGCAAAGGGCTCAGTTTTACAGAAGAGAAGTGCTTGCGGACTTAGAAAGACATCTGGCCATATGTTTAAAGAACTTGATAAAGCTGATCTTCTTTGACATGGTAATTCTATCTCAAGGAATCTATCAGAAGGGAAGCACTGGAAACATAAAAAAAAAAAAAAAAAAAAAATGTACAAAAAGATCCCCCTACAATGTTATCTACGTTAGGGCAGATCTCTGTTCTGCTCCCAGATGTTCTGCTTCAGAGCTCACAACATTCAGTGTCTACATAGCTTGTCTGAAAGGAATGACAGATCCCATGTACTCCCAGCCCAGTCCACTGAACTGTTTATAAAGCTGAAGGAGCGCAATTTAAGACAGAGGTGCAAAGGACTCGGTATACCCAGAGCAATCTTCAGACGCAGCAAGGTCGGACGGTCTGACGTAAGACTTACTGGAAAGGTACAGAAAATCCAGGGCTGGCACTCTAGGATAAGTACTGAACCACTAACCACAAGGCCAGCAGTTCAAACCCAACAGCTGCTTCTTGGAAACCCTACACAGGGTTGCTATGAGTCAGAACTGACTCCAAGGCACTTCACAACTGTTGGAGACAGCAATCACTGAGATTTTGAGGCCCTGTGTCATGGACGAAAATCCTACACAATGGCCCCACTCAGGATGGCTAGCCAGGGACCCTGAGGGCCCAAAGAAGTGACCTCCTGATGACCCGGGTTCATTGGCTTTTACGAGCTCACTGTTGGGCTAGCTCTGTGTAATTTTCTTTGGTCCTATTATTCATTCTATGCTTCGAACTCCAGTAATTGTAGCTTCTGAGAAAATGGTTTCTTATGTGCCTCTCTTAATGTCTCCACTGTGTTGGTAGTGTGTAAGGTTCTGGGAACAAATCTCTCTGAGGAACAAACTCTGGCCACCTGGCAAGCATGGCAAAACTGTTCTTTATCAAGTTATTCAGTTATGTTTGATATTAACTTAATACATGAGCCCTTGATACCCATGGACAAATATTAAAACAAAAGCCCCTCCTAAAGCCGAGGCTGTAAAAAGTTCCAAAGGCAAGTTTGCAAGGGGACTCTGGAGACATTCTGCCCAAGGAATTCACTCAAAGTAGATTGGCGAATTCCGGGGTATTGTTCAAGGAATAATAGTGTTGGCCACCTCAGACTGTCCCCAGGTGCAAACCATTAACCTAGGTGTCCTTCTTCCTTCTGCAAGCCTAGGCCAGGTAGCTGAAACAACTGGACTCCTCCCAGACCTTTTGAATCCTTTTCTCACCTTTACCCATTGCAGATTAGGTGCTATAGGTATGTTAATTAGCCTTGAGAAACCTCGAGTTGCTGCCTTGGGATTCAAACTTAAAAAGTAATTTATAACAATTAGCTTGAATTTCTGGAAAATTAAGGATGTTAGATTATTAAGACAATTTGCGATGTATGTTTTAGAATTTGTTCCTGTAAATCATTGTGTCCTGTTTTGAACAATTAATCACATTTCATTTCTGTACCCTGTCTTAATAATCCCCTTCTGCCTTTGTGTAAAGTCCCTCCCTGAAATAAAAAGGGGGCGCAGACTGAATCCTGCGTGCATTACTGCCTGCAGGGGCCACGATGCCTGTAGTCCAGGGTCTGCCCGCCAGTCTTGTATCCACTCTGGTTTCGGGGTGTCTCTTTGTCTCTCTCGTCGTGTCTTTGTGTGTATTCCTTTTCTATCTCTGTCACCGCCAGATCTCCCTACTTCGTGAACAGAACTCCCCTGTTGAGGCAGGTCCCCGACACACAACAACACATAAAATCAGGACAGACAGTTGTTTCTTGACAGGGCACAGGGACTGTAAGATGAGGTGCTAGCGGTGGTGGTTGTGTGCCATGGAGTCAGTTCCCACACATAGAGACCCTGAGGTTCATCTTTCTCCCACAGAGCACCTGGTAGATTCAAAATGCTGACCTTGTGGTTAGCAGTCCAGATTGTAATCCACCACAAGAGCAGGACTCCTTCACTATTTGTTGTTGTTAGGTGCCATTGAGTAGGTACGCACTAACAGCGACCCTATGTACAACAGAACGAAACACTGCCTGGTTCTGAGCCAATATCACTACTGTTGCCACACTTGAGCCCATTGATGCTGCCTCTTTGTCAATCCACCTCGCTAGGGGTCTTCCTCTTTTTCTCTGATCCTCCACCCTACCAAACATGATATCCTTTTCCAATGACAGGTCCCTCCTGACAATATGTCCAAAGTATGAGAGATGAAGTCGGGCCATCCTGGCTTCAAAGGAGCATTTTGGCTGCACTTCTTTCAACACAGACCTGTTTGTTCTTTTGATAGCCCATGGTACTTTCAATATTCTCCTCCAACACCATAACTCAATTCATCAATTCTTCTACAGTCTTCCTTATTCGCTATCCAACTTTCACATGCATATGAGGTTACTGAAAATACCACAGCTTGGGTCAGGCACACCTTAGTCCTCAAGCTGACATCTTTGCTCTTCAACACTTTAAAAAGGTCTTGTGCAGCAGATTTGCCTAATGCAATACGGTGTTTGATTTCTTGACTGCTGCTTCTGTCAGTGTTGATGGTTGATCCAAGAAAAATGAAGTCCTTGACAACTTCAATCTTTTCTCCCATGATAAGATTGCTGTTTATTGGTCCAGTGGTGAGGAGTTTTGTTTTCTTTACATTGAAATGCAATCCATACCTAAGGCTGTGGTCTTTGATCTTCATCAGTAAATATTTTAAGTCCTCTTCACCTTCAGCAAGCAAGGTTGTATCATCTGCATATCATGGGTTGTTAATGAGTCTTCTTCCAATCCCGATGTCACGTTTTTCTTCATATAACTCAGCTTTTCAGATTATTTGCTCAGCATACAGATTGAATAAGTATGGTGAAAAAACACAACCGCTGAGATGATAATGTTGTTTATTGGTCCAGTGGTGAGGATTTTTGTTTTCTTGACATTGAGATGCAATCCATACTGAAGGCTGTGCTCTTTGATCCTCATCAGTAAATAAACCCCTGCATGTAGGAACTGGAACCCCAGGAGCAATCCTTGTTGGCTCGCCCTCATATAAAGAACTCTGACAACTCAATTGGAAATAATTTTTTTTTTAATGGACCAAAGCTTTGAATACACACTTCACAAAGGAAGTTCTACAAATGGACATTGACCACATGAAAGTTTCAGTTAGCATTAGTCATCAGGGGCATGCACAGGAAACCCACAGGGAGATACCACACGCCACACCCACCGTGGACGTACAAGGACTGGCAGCGCCAGTGGGGGAGATGGGTATGTGAGGGAAAATGAAAACAATGTGAATCGTAGACTTGAGAAGTATTTACTGTCAAATTGCTCACCTACATGTTAGAAAATTTTCATGCTGGAAAACAAGCAACTAGAGTGTTGACTGCACTACCCCACACATGAGCATCCCTTTATCTCTGGAAGGCTTCAAGGACTAGCCCCGAGCCATCAAGCCAGTTCTGCCTCACAGTGACCCCATGTGTGTCAGAGTGGACAGGGCTCCAATGGCTGTGCTCTGATGGAGGCTGGTCCCCAGGCTTTCCTTCTGGTGTGCCACTGGGCAGGACACCAGCAGCCAGTAGCCAAGTGCAAATCATTTATGTCACTCAGGGACCTTTCAAGTAAAGACAAGGAAAAAGAAGTAAGTGTAAGCATCGGAGTAAAAAACCCTGGTGGCCTAGTCGGGTAAGCACTGGGCTGCTAACTGTAAGGCTGGCGGCTCAAACCCACTAACCACTCCACAGGACAAAGCTGGGGCTGCCTGCCCTTTTAAGACAGACAGTCTGGGAAACCCCATAGAGCACTTCTATTCTGTCCTAGCGAGTCGCTAGGAATCAGAAAGGACTCGATGCCAACAGTGGGTTTAGGGATGTGGGGTAAGCATGGGAAATAGGACTTTGGACTCTCTGGTTGTAGTTTTTATTGTTGTGAAACACATGTAACAAAACATTTTCCATTTCAACCATTTGCGAATGTTCAAATTCCAGCTCCACAGTGAGTGTAATGGTCACCACTACCTGGGTCCAAATGTTTTCATCGCCGTGCCCCTCTCCACCACAACCCGCCTCTGGCCACCAATGGCCACCGTTGGTCTCTCTGGACTGCCTTCCCTAGGAGTTACATGGAAGTGACCCAACACAGCATGTGTCCTTCTGTGTCAGGCTCACTTCAAGCTGCATGATGCAGCATGCATCAGAGCTTCCTGTCTCTTTATGGCTAAGTGACATCCCATTGTAGGGGCAGGCCACATTCTGCTGATCTAGTCTGCTGATGGACACTTGACATTCTTTTTTTTTTTTTTAGTAGAATCTTTGAAACTTAACAGAGACTCGTATGGATCACTGTCTTACCCAGTGTATCAGATACAGAGAAGTACCAAGACCCATACCCACTGCCTCTGAGTTGATGCCGACTCCTAGAGATCCCATAGGGCAGGGCAGGGTTTCTGAGACTCTACAGCTTTATGGGAGCAGACTGCCTCATCGTTCTCCTGTGGACTGGCTGCTGAGTTCAAACCACTGACCTTGTGACTATAGCCCAGCACTTACCCCACTGTGCCACCAAGGCTCCTATGAGAGACGGACATACAGCATAAAGAAGTTGCAGGAGAGGTGATACAGAATTTCCACAGGCTGGTGTAGGTTTTCAGAAAGGAAGGCAAACTGAGCCATCCTAGAGATACTAGAAATGTTTTGCGAACACGTCTGCAGAAAACGGACATGGGTGAGGTGAATCGCTGACACTTTCAAACGCACACAACCTTGAGGTGACAGCTGTACAGAGCCCGCGGTAATGGGACTTACCCAGAGGAAATCTCCGTCGACCTTTATGGCAAACTTCAGTTTCCGTAGGCGGACGAGAGAGAGAGGAGCGCCAGACACATCAGAGACGCAGTGGACAATGCCAGCGATCTGTCCACAAAGCAACTCCTGTTGGTCAAGCAGGGTCTACGGGGGAGAAGCAAACGCCACACAAGAAGTTGATTCTTAGAACAGGGACTGGCAGCTACTGTAGCAGAGTATTAAGCATCAGGGTGTTAACCAAAAGGTCAGAGGTTCAAACCTACCATGGGAGAATGAAGCAGTCTGCTTCTATAAAGATGTAATCTCAAAACCCTACTGAGCAATTCTAACCCTTAGTGTGTTGGATAGTTGGTTTGAACTGCAATGTCAGCAGTTCAAACTCACCAGCCGCTCCTTGGAAATCCTATACAGGATCGCTACAAGTCAGAAAGGCACTTAACAACAACAACCAGGCTCAGAGGGATGCTATGAGTTGGAATCAAGTTGCTGGCAGTGGGTTTGGTTTTGGGTTTTTTATGCTCTAAGAATGGTCTCTTACATTTTTAAACAGTTGTAAAGAAAAACAGAACAAAAAAGAGGAATCATGTGATAGAGATCTTAAGTGGTTACAAAGTCTGACATATTTACCTTACAATCAATCCCCTTTAGAAAAAAGGCTTGCCGAGAAGCCCTGCCCTAGAGGGCTGGCCCGTTATGCGACACACACAACGGCACATAGGTGACTGAGCACCGAGACACAGGCACAGGCCTGCACCCTATGGGCATCCTCTCCAGAGAGACCAAAGCAGCCAACTCTCCAGTAGGCACATCAGCACACAGAGTGAGAATCTACAGGGGTCAAAACGTGAGACAGCCAGACACAGTAACCAACAGAACATGTACATCACCTGATGGAGAAGTTTTGCCTAAAAAAACTGAACAAGGCTCTAGATTTTTGTGACAAGTTTAAAGGAAGCTAGTAGATAAAGCAAAACCAAACCGAACCCACTGCTGTCAAGGCAATTTAACTTACAATGACTCTAGAGGACAGAGTAGACCTGCTCAGTGTTTCCAAAGCTGTCAATCCCTATGGGTGCAGATGGCCTCATTTTTCTCCTGCAGAGGGGCTGCTGGGTTCAAACCACCAGCCTTGAGGTTAGCATCCCAACAATCAACCTACTGCACCACCAAGGTTCCTTACCCAGCAGACACCCAAACCAAACTCACTGCCATCAAGTCAATTTCAACTCCGAGTGACCCTGTAGAGGATTTCCGAGAAGCGGTTGGTGGATTTGAACCACTGACTTTGCAGTTAGCAATCCAGTGCTTATCCTACAGTGCTACACCAGAAAATACCACGAGTATTTGCCATGAGTCCAGAATGAAGGTTTTCTGATAGTCCACTGCTCAGAGGCCTGCTCTGATTAAGGATCCAATGACATACTGGGGAAGCGTGGGTGGGTGAGGCATGTTAGAAAATACGGGACCTTCAAACACAAAACCGCCAAGTGGATTCTACGGGTGTTGTCAGGGTTTTGATTGAGTGAGAGAAAGTGATGGGCAGGGGTAGGAGGTGGGGTGGGGGTGTGAAAACCAAAAGGAAAGGAAGGAGGAAGGAAGGGAGAAAACAATTCTAAGTGCCACAAGGTGAAATTTTAATGTGGACTGGGTATCACATGACATTAAGGAGTCATTATCACAAATTATTGTTACTTTTGTCGGGTGTGATAAGGCTCAAAACAAGTCCTTAGACCACAGAGCTGTCTCTGGAAGCACACCCTGTGAGGTGCAATGGAATCTCTAATATGGCCCTTTGCCTTTTAGTCCTCCACTCTAGAGTGTTTTGTCAAGCCTTGCCCCTGAACCAGTGGTTAGGGTCCTGTTTTGGAATGCATTGTCTGTATGCTAATGAGGCAGGACTGCTAGTGAGTTTGCCTCAAGTCTTCACACTTATCTAGGCCACAGCCTCCCCTTCCTCACTGAAGCCACACCCTTCTCTCTTACAAGAGACAAATGGAGAGAGAAGAAAGCAGAAGAAGGGGGTCCTGGCTACTAGCAAGAGGAAGAAACAGGAATGGAGCGTGTCCTTCAGACACGGGGGTCTCTGTGCTGGGAAGCTCCTAGACCCAGGAGACAGAGAGCTGTAACAATGGAGACTCAAGATGGCAAGAAATCGTGGAAGAGAAATGGAGGCAGCAGAAGTAAGAAACCAGCATAAGACAACACAGTGGACTTCCTGGCCCCTGGAGAGAAAGCAGAATCCCTTCAGGCAAGAGGCTCATTGGCAAGCAGGGCATCTCCAGGCACTTGGTGGAGCTAGGCTTGTCCACCCTCAGAGCTAGAGCTGAGTGCCTTCGGGTCAAGGCTTGCCGGTGGAGTGGGATGCCGCTGGACACTTATTGGCAGGGCAGAAGAGCTTTACAACACTTGTCCAAGCAGGGTCAGGCTGAAAGGCCAAGGGTCCAGGAGAGACCTGTCTTCAGGCAGGGCTGGAAAGAGGTTGTCCTCATCAAAGAACTAGATCCTGAGTGTTCCTGATCCTGATTTGGAACCCGGTAAGTGGTTACGACCAAGAGGCAGCTGTTCAAACAGAACATGGGAACACTGAATGGATTAAAATTAAGAAAGGTGTGCGATAGGGTTGTATTCTTTCACCATAATTATTCAACCTGTATGCTGAGCAAAAATCCAAGAAGCTGGGTTATTTGAAGAAAAACGTGGCATCAGGATTGGATGAAGACTCATTAACAACCTGTGATATGCAGATGATACAACCTTGCTTGCTGAAAGTGAAGATGACTTAAAACATTTACTGATGAAGATCAAAGAGCCCAGCCTTCAGTATGGATTACATCTCAATGTAAAGAAAACAAAAATCCTCACCACTGGACCAATAAATAACATTCTTATCAACGAAGAAAAGAATGAAGTTGTCAAGGGCTTCATTCTTCTTGGATCAACTATCAACACTCATGGAAGTCAAGAAATCAAATGATGTATTGCATTAGGCAAATCTGCTGCATGAGACCTTTTTAAAATGCTGAAGAGCAAAGACATCAGCTTGAGGACTAAGGTGCGCCTGACCCAAGCCATGGTATTTTCAATAATCTCATATGCATGCGAAAGCTGGACAGTAAATAAGGAAGACCCTAGAAGAATTGATGCTTTTGAGTCATGGTGTTGGAGAATATTGAAAATGCCATGGACTGCCAAAAGAACCAATAGATCTGTTTTGGAAGAAGTACAGCCAGAATGCTCCTTGGAGGCCAGGATGGCCAAACTTTGTCTCTCATATTTCGGACATATTGTCAGGAGGGACCAGTCACTGGAGAAAGATATCATGTTTGGTAAGGTGGAGGGTCAGAGAAAAAGAGGAAGACCCCCCAGTGAGATGGATTGGCAAAGTAGCAGCATCAATGGGCTCAAGTGTGGCAACAATTGTAAGGTTGGCCCAGGACCGGGCAGTGTTCCGTTCTGTTGTACTGACTCGATGGTACTTAACAACAACAAAGTGGCTACGAGTCTGGCTGCTAACCTCAAGGTCAGCAATTCTAAACTACCAGCGGTTCCACAGGAGAATGATGAGGCTGCCTGCTCCTATAAAGCTTTACAGCCTCGGAAACCCTATTCAGGGTCACCATGAGTGGGAACCAACTCCACAGCACACAGCCACCACCACTGCTCCCCTAGTAAAAGGAGGTCTAGTAGTTGGGCTGCAAACTGCAAGGTCAACAGTTCAAACCCACCAGTCACTGCAGGAGAAAGATGAGGTTTTCTGCTCCTGTAAGCCTCAGAAACCCTATGAGTTGGTTGCTATGAGTCAGAACCAACTCCACAGCACACAGCCACCACCACTTCCCTAATAAACCCCACAATCATGAATACTGTCAGTGAGTTCTACATGGCCACTGTAACGAATTATCAAACCTGGCAGAGAAGTAGAGAGTGTGGGAGGGATGGCTGTGTCAGAATGGGTAAAGAGGTGGGAGGGTAGGCATGTCCAAACGGCCGCCTCATAGGAATCAGCGGGGCTGCTGACCTTGAGGCTTCTTCACCCTTGTGAATGAAACAATGTCTGTGGTTTCCCTGAAGCCCTCTGGATTAAAAGCATGGCTCAGATAAAATCAGCAAAGCGTTGGTAGTTGTGGAAGGTAGTGAGGGGCATGTGGGGGTCCATCACAGTCTCTGCTCCATCTCTAACAAGGGAGCTTCAAAACGTTCGCTGGCACATGGAGTTAAAAGATCGTGGAATTTTCTCACGGATTTTTTAAAGCCAGGGTCAAATACATTTGGAGAAAAGTTTTTTTAAAAACAAAACATGCTGTGCAAAACAGTGGAGGTAGGGGAGGCAAACACCAAAACCATGAGGGGACAAGACAGCTAGAGAAGATGGCAGTCCCGAGCCACCTAGGACCTTTAAGACTAAAAATCAAACCACAAAGACTAAGACAGATGGCATGTCAAATGGCCGGATTCAGCAAATAAAACCGTCCCAAGCTAAACTATACTTTTGAGAGGTCATCCTGTGATGGGATGCTCTGCGCCTTACCTGAGCCGGATAAAAGTAGCAAATCCCAGCTCTTGTTGGGTCTCCTTCTTCCTTTACCTTTGAGCCATCGTAAAGGAAGAAATAATTCCACCTGGCAAGAGAACACAATTGACCATGTTTCCTTTCTTGTGACAACAGTGGCATCTTAAAGCATAGCTTCCTATTTCCCAGCCCCAGGAGGGCGCACGAGGGTTTGAGCAGCTTTCTGGGTGTCTCCAGAGAGAGTACCCGGATAAAACCATCCTGTGAGCACAGTGCATCAGAGGCAGGCTGCGAAGCTGCCCACAGCCAGCCTACAGACCGTCTGACCCAAGAAGATGAACAAGTACCCACAGTGACAGCTAATCTTTGAAACACTGAACCTTAACTATATATAGCAATGTCATTTGGCCAGCTGTTCTGTAAGGCTCTGATAACAAACCAAGTTAGGGGTGCATATACTCAGTAGGATGATCTTGAGAAAGGCTTGTAGCCTTCACCAAGAATTCCTGCACTGGGCTGTATGTGGAGCCTCGAGGTCACAGTGACAAAAGGCACATGAATAAACTAACCATTCACGGTCGTGAACCTGCAAAGAGGGGGAAACAAGGGCCAGCTAATGGTGTCGTGCTGTGGGATAAAGTGCTGGACTGCAAGGTTGGTTTAAACCACAAGGTCGGCAGTTCAAACTCACCAGCCACTCCTTGGAAACCCTGTACAGGGTTGCTATGAGTCAACAGCACTCAACAACAACATGACAGTTAATGGTTACGTGTGAGGTGTTGACCACAAAGACAGTGGTTCAAGTTCACCAGCTGCTGTGAGAAAGCAGAAACTGTCTGCTTCCCTGTGGAGCAGCTCTACTCTGTCCTATAGGGTCGCTAGGAGTGGGAACCAGCTCAATGTCCTGGGGGTGGAATTAGCAGAGAAACACCGAACACTGCTTCCTTTCTACCGAAATCTCACCAGTCCTTCCTGTGTTCTCAAACCCAGCTCCCACCACAACCATACCAACATCCACTTCACTGAAGAGTCTCAATTCCCATAACCCACTAGTCTTCCCTAAGGACTTTTTTGATCTATTGTTGATAACTGCCATCCAGTCAACCCCCAACTCATGGAAAGCCCATGCATGATGGCATCACTGCCCAGGCTGGACCATATATATTTTCTCTCTCTCTCTCTCTCTCTCTCTCTCTCTCTCTCTCTCTCTATATATATATATATATATATATACACACACACACATACACACATACGTATACACACACATACATACGTATATTTATATAGAGACATACACACACACAAAGCCCTGATGTAGTGCTGTAGGATACACACTGGACAGCTAATGGCAAGGTCAAAGATGAGGCTTCCTGCTCCTGTAAAGCTTTACAGCCTGGGAAGCCCTATCCAGGGTCACTATGAGTCGGACTCGAGTCGACAGCAGTGAGTTTGGGGTTTTATAATGGAAAAAAATGGTGACCATTTTGTTCCTGCTCTCTTCTCCCTCAATCCACACTCTCTCCTAGGCTATCCCCTCTGGCCCCCACCCCATCTTCCTGGTGTCAAGCACCAACTCTGCTTTCCGAGGTCAAGGGCCAGATGTGCGCCTGCCTACAGGACAAGTCCAGACCATTCCACCAAACCCAACTCAGAGCCTGCAGCAGCCCCCACATTCTCTGACCACTGTGGTCCACAGGGTTTTCACTGGCTGACTGGAAATAGCCTACCAGGCCTTTCTTCCTAATCTACCTTAGTGTGGAAACTCCATTGGAACCTGTTAGGACTGTAGCCACCAGAAAGCTTCCAATGAGGGAAAGCCTCCACCACTACCCCCGCTCTCACAGGAATACTAAAGGAAACCCGGCCGGCCTCTCTGCGTCTTCTGACTTCCCCATTTGACCAGACACAGTACCTTGTCTGGTTACAACTGAAACCATGCCTTTCAGTTCCATCTCTCCAGTTCATGAACTGAGTTAGCAAGAATGAATCCACGTGGGCTTGAGAAGGGAGCTGAGGTCCAGACAGACATGGTGGGACACCCTCAAGAGCCAGATAAGCAGAACATCTTTGGTGTCATTCTGAACTGCAACCATCACTCAAAAGTGAAGGTTCCCGTACCTGTGTTACTACCGGAGCCAGCTGACCGACACACAGATATGACCAGGGATCTCCTTTCTACAATTTAACAGGAGACCCTGCAAGACTGGAGAGTTTGGGAAAGAAATGACTGAGGAACTTCATTTGGCTTACTCTGAGGAATATGACATTGCTTTTTTCTGCCTAAAATCAAGATAGTCAACCCAACAGTCTCATCAGGCAGCCTGGCAAGTATGAACCCGTGACTAGCTTTCGGACTCACCAGGAGGCTGACTTCGTCTCTGTGGAGGTGGAGGCAGCCATTTACTTTCCAGCCGTCCTCATCCTCTTCCTCTGGGTTCCTTTTCCGGGATCACTTTTCTGCCATGCGCCCAGGCCAGGGAATCATGACGGGGTAGGGTTAAGTGTTTCCACTCAAAGCTGTCACTCCTTTAGTTTTCCCTCAATATGAACGTGTGGCATTTCTTCTTTGTAGGCCCCCTTGAATCTCGTGAAGATGGCTGTGCCTCTGGGAACCCGGAGAGAGAGAATAAAGCAAGAGAATCCCCCCACAGAAGTCGACCCCCCAGGCTGGTTCTGTTAGCGAGAGAGGCTTTTTGCAGCAGAATCAGCTCCTGTGGAAACAAGTCTCCGGGAAGGCTCAAACCGGCAGATGTAGACTGAAGGCCGGGTCCACAAGGGATTTCTCACGTGTCCTGTTCTTCAGAGCCATTCTGGCATTTCTTTGACAAGTTTGAAGCTTCAACTTCAAACAGCAGTGCCTTGGCCCTAGAATGAACACAAGGGATAGATTTACACAAGGGATAGAGTCTTTCATCAACCCACAGGAAAGCATGTGACCCAGTGGGGTGAAGCAAATGGGAGACTTAAAAAGGGCACTCTGCACAGTTGAAGGTTGTGTTTCAAAATAAAGACAGGGCACGAGAGAATTTTCAAGTTCAATCCTTTAGTTTCTTGAAGCATTATGGTGAAATGAACACATCCTGGGTCTCCCAGAGGGTCAAACTGCATACCTGGTAAGAAAAGCTCTGCATGCTAAGGACAGCTACATCAGGTTCCTGGGAAGCTCAGTCTGTGCACTGTTACTAACACAAAGGAGTCCTGGTGTGGCATGGGGGGATAAAGCGCGGGATCACAATGTTGGGTTTGAACCACAAGGTCAGCAGTTCAAGTTCACCAGACGCTCCTTGGAAACCCTATACAGGGTCACTATGAGTCAGAACTGACTCGATGGCACTTAACAATGAACATGTTGTTGTTGTTAAGTGCTTTGACAGCCTAAAAGTCACCTGAACATGTAGAATTCCACTGCTGGGCAAGTGTGCAAAACATACACACACAAAGAGAACTTTACTGGGAAGCTTTTTAAACTCTCACCTGAGGGAGGTGACACAGAGGTATCATGCATGGCATTTCTGAGCAGAAGGGACCCTGGTACCATTTACTCTACTCCTCGTCCTTTCTACTCCTCCCCAAATGACTTTGTCTCTGCCTTACTCCCACTAGAGACAGGAGGTGCATCACTGTTAGCTGCATCCTTCTGTCAAACACCAAACCAAGAGAAAAACAAAAGCCTGCTCCCAATGACTCAACTCCAACTGACAGCAACCTCGTGCTTGCAGAGTCAAACTGTGCCCCAGGAGCACTTGAAGGTTGTGACATTCTGGAAACAGATCGCCAGACCATTCTTCTGCAGCACCTCTGGATGAGTTCCAACTGCCAACCTCTTCGCTGAGTCACTCAGGGAGTCCTCCTAAATGACCTCCTAGTGACCTCCACTCACTGGTCTGATTCACACCTTCCAGAAACACATGAAACACTGAGGAGGCCTTCCTTGTGATGACCCTCTCATCCCTTTCTAAGACAAGCATTCCAGCAACAGGTTCTTGAGTACACACTCATCAGTCACTCGGCCAGCTTCCTAAGCACACACACTATATGGACTCCTTCGGTGGAGAGAAGATCCTAGAAGAAACCCTGCTCAACATTGGTCAGCGCCCTGTACAGAGCCCTGCTGCTGCACTGGGTTAAGTATTGGGCTGCTAACGGCAAGGTTGGTAGTTGGAACCCACCCACCACCCTACTTGCTCCTGTAAAGATAGACAGGCCTGGAAACCCTCGGGGACAGCTTTACCCTGTCCAGGAGGGTTACTTGAGTCAGAATTGACTCAATGGCAGTGAAAGCTTGGGATAGGCCTCTGTCGCCACAACTAAAAGGGGGCCATTCTCACAATATTCTGTGGTGCACATGGAAGGGGCATCTCAGCTACTGGCACCAAGGACAGTGGCTGCAGGCCCACCTCCCTTACTCAGGGTCCCAGATAACAGGGCCTTCTACTACCTGGGTGCATTCCCTTTTCTCTGATAGGTTCTAGCAGTGACCAGTAAGAGGCCTGGGGTAGGCGTTGTTGTCTGTGTGTTAAGTCTGACAGCCTGGTGACACTGACAACCCGGAGTCAAGAGGGAGTGGGGTAGTGTTGGAAATGGCCTTGGTAGGGTCCACAAAGCAGGACCCCACAGCCATAGAGTAGATTCCGACTCACAGCAACCGGCAAGGCAGGGTCGAATTGTTCCCTAGGATTTCAAAGGCTGTGGCGCTGTGAGCTAATGCGTCAGACTGCAAAGTCGTTTGAACTGCAAGGTCGGTGGTTCAAGCTCACCAGCTGCTCCTTGGAAACCCGATACAGGGTCGCTATGGGTCGGAACCGATTCGACGGCATTTCACAACAAAACCTTTATAGGAGCAGACTGTGTCATCTTTCTCCCGAGGAGCTACTAAAGGGTTCGAATAGCCGATCTTTCCGAGTCGTAGCCCAAGGCTTAACCCACTGCGCCACTGCGCGAGGCTCTGAAGTGACCCCGAGGGCTCTAGGAAGCGTCTGACCTCTGCTCCAGAAGCCGTGGAAGTGTAGTGCTTCATCCGAGGGTGCCGCGGGGCCCGCCAAGAGGGGACACCCGCCGGGGTCCCCGCCCCTCGGTGTCTCCGCGCCGCCGGGCACTACCCACCCGCCGGGGCAGCCAGGCAGCCTGGGACTTGGGGTTCGGAGTTCGGGACCCAAGGTGTGGGAGGTGAGAGAGATCCTGCGCTCCCCAGGCGATACCTGTGCGCGGTAGGCACAGCCCTGGCGGCGCGCAGCGATGACATCAGGCTCAGACCGCCGCGCGCCGATGACGTCGGAGGCCCATGGCGGCTGCGGCGGCTGCGGCAGATCCCTGGCAGGTAGCGGCGCCGCGGAAAAGGCGGTCGGCTGCGCGGCGGAGTGGACGCAGAGTTGCAGTCGCCCGGGGACCGGCGGCGCAACCCGAGACCGACCTTGAGACCGTATTTCGTCGCCTTCGGGAGGCCGGGTGAGTGGGTACTGATGCTTGAAGGAGCCTCCTGAGACTCACTCTTGCCATCTGTAAAGTGGGAAGAGCTGCAAACCCTTCCCGAAGTCAGTGGGACAATTTAACGAACATTAATGAGCTCATTGGAGCCCTAGTGTGGCGATGTAGGAGCAGCGCTAGACTGCAAACTACAAGATCTGCAGTTCAAACCCACCAACTGTTCCTGGGAAACCTTATACAGGGTCGCTGTGAGTCAGAACCGATTCGATAGCACTTAACAACAATGAGCTCATTACAGGTCTAAATTGTAGTCAGCACTCTATAAAGGTGAGTATTTCTTTTATTCCGACTGAAGCTGCATGACCTAGGACACGTGACATAACCTTTATGCCTCAATTTTCACATCTGTGAAATGGGAATGAAAATAATTGTCTCCATTGACATTTTTTGAGGATTCCTTGAATTAGGCAATTAAACCACTTAGAACAAGAGTACCTGCCATGTGTTAAGTGCGATAGAATTCTTTGCTATTTAAGTATTATGCCAACTTGTATTATTAAGCCAAAGCCAAACCCAATTCCACCGCCATGTAGTCTATTCTAACTCAAAGCCAGCACTTTATAAGGTTTCTGAGGCTGTAAATCGTTACAGGAGCAGAAAGCCTAGTCTTTCTCCCTGTGGGTTACTGGCAGGTTTGAACTAATTAATGACCTTGTGGTTAGCTTGTTGTTAACATTAAAGCAGCAGAATAAGCACATTGCCATCATATTCATTGTTAGCATTACTAGTTTATTGAGCAGTTGCTATGTGCCCAGCCCTGGATTAAGCATTTTACAAAAGTTACCATTTTTGAACATAGCAAACACGCCGGGAGGTACTGAACTGGGTTTTTCAGTGAGTGGGTAGCCCTTCAAAAGAACCCTAGAGGCTTAGTGGGTTAAATATCCGGCTGTTAATCACAAAGGCGGAGTCCCTGTGAGATGCTGTGGGCTAATGGCGGTTCAGGTTCACCAGCTGCTCCTCGGAAACCCTGAACAGGGTCACTGTGGGTTGGAACTGACTTGACGGTATTTCACAACAAATCACAAAGTCGGTGGTTCAAATCCACCAGCCTTTCCAAAGTGAGTTTTTCTGCTCCCATAAAGATTTACAGCCGCAGAAACCCTAGGGAGCAGTTCTTCTCTGCCCTGTAGGGCAGCTACAAGTTGCATTCAACTCAATGGCAGTGGATTTTGTTTTGTTTTGTAACTCTCCATAAATTCAATTCTTGTCTCTATTTTAGAGATGAGGAAATGAGAATTCAGAAAGACTTGGTCCACATATGTAATGACTATGTATGGAGCTGTTCCTCTGTGTCAAGCTCTGTTGGTAGCCAAGGATACAGCAGCAAACAGACTTCGGCCTGGCCCTGTGGGGTCACTGTCTAGTTCGGTCCCTGAAATCAGGAGCGTCTCTGAGCACCAGTAGCACATGCTCTGGCCCTGGACACCTCCTCCCATCACCCACTCTTTGTGTGAGGACTCCCCCACCCCTTCACTGCATCCAGCTCATGGTGGGGAGGCATGTCATTGTGAATACAGCTGTAGAAAGCTAGCATTGATTGCACCATTTCTCAACAGGGAGGACCTGCGCATCTCTGATTTCTGGAGTTCAGCACTAGGTGGGTACCTCCAAGTCGAGGGTGGGGGTGGTGGGAGTGGGAGGTGGGAGGGTCTGCATGTGGCAGAGAAGAGTCCAGTCCTCATCTGGGGACACTTGGCTTCACACAGCAGTGTTCTTGCTGGGTTCTAATTCTGACTTCCCCCTCATGGTTGTATGTTTTAAACACTAAACTAACTCAGACTCTCAACTTCTGTATCTGTGAAATGAGGGTAGTAATGTACACATCCCCTCGAGTCGTTTTGAGGATTAAATGAGGCAGTTGAGTGCCTAGCACAGTTCTTGCTTGTGACACAGGAGACTGTAAAGGTCAGCTGTCATCGCTATTGTTGTTAAACTGCTCCTCAGTGGGACCAGAGACATTGTCCTGATGAGTTAGAATCTAAACATGATGTGTGGCAACAGACGGCAAGGAGTGAGAGTGCTGTAGGTAGGGTTTTCATTAAAAGACATTTTGTTGATTTCCTTTTTTTTAATGTTTTATTGTGAATTATATGATAGTTTACATGGGAGAACATTAGTTTTACATTCATTCTATCGTATATCGTTTCATTGCCATGGTTACAATCCCCTCCATGAATCATCAGCCAACCAAAGGGTATACTCTGCAAGCCTGCTCACTACACTACCGCCCCGCACCCCACCCCCAGTTTTCAGCACACAGTCTCTCTCCCTCTCTGGGTCTAAAGTCCCCAGCAGCTCCATCTCTCCACGTCATTGTCTCTGCCTCCATCTCAGGCATTGCTGCTTCTCTGGCTCTTGGCTCTTCTCCTTTGATGGTCCTAGGGACCTCCGCTCCTAGACTGGAAAGTTATTCCCTCCCTTCCTTGCTATAAAACATCTACCTTTATATTTCCAACCCTCACAATCAGTCCTGATAACAATTATTCACTATTGTATCACAAGAGACCTATCTGCATTTCATTTCATCAGCTCCGCCTAGACAGATTGGATACTACTCACTGGAGATTCTGCTGATTTCCTTTTTTTTTGACTTCTTATAACTTTGTAGTGAGTGTCTTAGGGCAAGGACTCCTGGTATTGCTGTAGGATCAGCAGTGGACTGCTAACCACAAGGTTAGCAGTTCAAACCCACCAGCCACCCCTCAGAAACCATGCACAGGGTTTCTATGAGTCGGAACCGACTCAATGGCACTTAACAACAATAACATCTTTGTGCATAAAGTTTCCCCCCGTTAAGGATGGTTTTCTTGGAGAGACACCCCCAGAAGTGGAATAATCAAAGACTATGACCACCCTGATATCCACTGTCATGTTGTTTTCTAATACTTAACCAATTTACTCACCCACCCGCGAGGACTAAACAAACCCAGTTTTCATGCCACCTTTCTGAGCCCCATTTTAAACCAACTGCGCGAGTGTGGTAGGTTGGTTTCTTGTTGTTGGCCCGCAGTAGTGTCAGCGGCAGGGAGGGTTGATGGCACAGAGGGCATCACTTTTGTTTTTGCTGTTTTAATTTTGGGGTGTGTGTTGTATGCCCATCTATAGATTTATTCAACTGAATTCAGTACTGAGATACTAGGAGAGGTGAGAGTAGTCACCTACTCTGAGAAAACATAAATAGCACATATTCTGTTAGGAGTCCTGGTGTGGTGCTGTGTGAGAGTACACAAGGTCAGTGGTTCAAACTCACCAGCCGCTCCTTGGAAACCCTGTACTGGGTTGCTATGAGTTGGAACTGACACGATGTCACTTAACAACAACGACATATTCTGTTAGACTCTTGAAGACCCTCACCTACTGTTTGTTCCTTGGACTTGAGGCACATTCAACATTTCTCTTCCCAGGCATTGGGATAGTATGATTTCAGAGTTAGCTCCTTCATTCCTGGTTAGAGTCATAAAGTAGCCCTCTCAGAACACGAGCTGCACCTAAAAGGAATCTGATCATGCATGAAACCTGTTTTCCACCTACAAAATCATCTGAGGCCAGAATGGCCTCTCAGTTTTTGACAGATATAGCAGCGTGTCACAGGTGTGCTTGGGAGGGAGGCAGGTCACTCTTCTGGATGAGCTGCGCTGCTCCCTTCCTTCTGGGCCTGTGGATGTGTTTTACAGGGGCTCACGGGGTCAGAGCACATCCTCTGACCTCACTCAAGGACCGGCACTTTCAGAAACCATCAACAGGTGTCTTACAAAACATCGGGAGCAGCTGCAGGCCCCTGCAGGCACGATATCACAAGCCCTGGGAAACCTGCACCTCGACGACTCTTCACCAGATGCCTCAGCCGGCGCCCAGGACTGCAGCCCGGGGGAGTTGCTGGTCACGGCAGCCCACCATCTGAAGTGCGTGTGTTATGGCATTGGGAACTTTGCCACCTGCGTCATAGCTAGAAACCAGCTAGCATTTTTGCTGCTCTTCCTGGAAAAGAGCCAGGTAAGCTCTTGGCTTTTTCATCTTCTCTCCCCAGCACCTTGCACACATGGGCACACATGTTTGGACTGAAATCCACTCATCATATTTCCTTTCGCTGGCAGATTCCCAGAAGTCACTGCTGCGTGTATGACCCTTTGTTTAGCCAACTTGAAGTTGCAGTTCTTCATGCCCTGGGTGTGACTGTGCTCAGTGAGAATGAGGTAAGTGGATTCGGGGTGGTGGTTAAGTGTCATCGAGTCAGTTCCAACTCTCAGTGACCTCATGCACAACAGGATGAAACACTGCCCAGACCTGTGCCATCCTCACAGTCTTTTCTGTTTGAGCCCATTGTTAACAGTCACTGTGTTGCGTCTATCTCATTGAGGGTCTTCAGGGCCCCTCCTGATAGCTTGTCCAAAGTACATAAGACAAAGCCTCATAATCACTTCTAAGGAGCCCTCTCACTGTACTTTACTCCAAAACACATTTGGTTAGTCTTCTGACAGTACACAGAACATTTAGTATTCTTTGCCAACACCATAATTCAAAGGCATAGATTCTTTTTCGGTCTTTCTTATTCTTTGTTTAGCTTTCGCATATTAAGATGAGTGAAAATACCATAGATGGGTCAGTCTTCCCTTAGTCCTCAAAGTGACATCTTTGCTTTTGAATACTTCCAAGAGGTTTGTTGCAGATTTGCTCAGTGTAGTATGTCATTTGATTTCTTGACTGCTAAGCTTCCATGGTCCTTGATTGTGGAGCCAAGTAATGTGAAAGCCTTGGCAACTTTTGCCTTTTTTCTGTTTATCATTATGTTGCTTATGGGTTTAGTGGTGAGGATTGTTATTTGCTTTACAATGATGTATAATCCATACTGGAGGCAATAGTCTTTGATCTTCATCAGCAAGTGCTTCAAGTCCTCCTTGTTTGGAACAAATAGGTTGTGCCATCTACACATTGCAGGTTGTTAATGAGTCTTCCTGATGCCACCTTCTTATAGCCCAGCTTCTTGGATTATTTGCTGAGCATGCTGAACTTTGAGGTAATAAATTAGAGTGGTCCTTCTCACCTGTATAAAGGCGAAACCAAGGCATCAAACACACACTTTTTATGAAGAAACAGAAAAGGTTTATTCCAAAGCAAGAGTTAGACATTCAACACAGTAAATTGCAAATGGAGAACGGGATCTATTACAAGTTCACCAGACTGAGGAGAGCCACATCATGCAGAGAGCGCTGGGGATCCTTGGTATGGAGACTGGGTGGGAACGCCAACCCCAGGCAGTGCATCCACTCCACGAGTAGAGTCCAAGCCCCAGCCTGAGGACCCCCAGCCTTTATCCTTCTGCAAAGATTGTAGATTCATTTCCTTTGGAGAGACTCCAGGCAGGTGGCCAGTCTGTCTGATGTTGACTCCAAAGTTGTTTTCTCGTTCCACTTCACTAAAGTTCTGTCTGCGGTTACACATTAACTGATCCGGGTGTTGAAGGAACATTATTCTGATGATGGCATCAGGGTGCTTTTCTTTAGGCTGTATCCGGCATTGCTGCCCCTGTACTGCCCCCAGGAAAACAACAGCAACTCCATCTTAGAGAACAGCTACCTTGGTGGTTCCTCCATCATACGCAGGACACAACCCAGATGCACAGGTTCCCTGATTTTTACCACGCAGTATTCCCTTGTCCTGTTCAGACAACTGCTTCTTGGTCTTATGTGAAAATTTTGCATGAACACAATGAAGTGTTCTGGAATTTCTAGGGGAGGGCTTTGTAAATCCTGACTGAACGGACACCAGACTCTATCCCAGGACACTGGGCTGTATTGTAGTTCTTACCTTTTGGCGCCTGCAGCTTTCCATATGTTGGCTTATGCTGTGCCCTTTACAGAAAACAATACAACTCCACACACAGCATGAAATAGAACGCAGATTTGCAAGCTTCTTGTCAGAGTTGTGCTTCAGAAATTATCCTAAGTAGGCATTTACTGTTATTGAAAAATAGAGTCCACTCCCAGATATAAATGTAGGTCAAACAGTATTGCTATTAGGGTTCCAGTTCATACATGCAGGGGTTCATTCCATACAAACCGTATTTAAACATCCATCAGTGGATGGCTGCAGACAAGTTCTCTCAGTCAGAGATTATCTTAAGTCTTATTAGGGTGCCTTCAAAAAACAGCCAATCAAAACAGTGACTTCTGAGGGGATCTGCTAGGCATGTGCAGTCTAAGACAGAAGGCTCTGCTCTCAAGGTTATGGTGACTGTGGGATCCCAAAGTGGTCATCTTAATAGATCTTCTCATATAATACAGGACAATCAAGGGGGTTTACTATGAAGTTTTAAGAAAAATGAAAAGCTGCATTGGAGAGAAAAAGGCCAGAAAAGTTACTCCAAGGAATGTTCTTCCACCACAGTGCACCTGCTGGTTCTTTGAGGGCAGGAAGGGCTGTCCTGCAAGAATTCCTTTGGGAAACCTTATCCCATCCATCTTCCACCCTGATCTTGTCTTCTCAGATTTTTGCATTTCAAAAGAACACGATTTGAATCCCTTGAGTATGCCCAAGCTGCCATTCTGCCATGGTGTAAAAGGAAGAGCCGAAAATTCTTCGGGGAAGAGTTGTGTTTGTTGTGTGCCAGAGTTGGTTCTGACTCAGTGCCCCCGTACAGGGTTTTCTGGGCTGTAAGTCTTTATGGGAGCAGAAAATCTCATCTTCCTCCTAAGGATTGGCTGATGGATTCAAACTGTTGGCCTTACAGTTAGCAGCCCAACGCATAAGGAAACCACCTTCAGAAGTGTATAGACCCAGGGGGAGGATATGCCGAGAAATAGTAGCTTTACGTTTTGATCCGTACTTCGTGTATGTTGTACTTAAGTGCCATCAAGTCGGTTCCAAGTCATAGTGACCCTGTATAGGGTTTCCAAGGTACAGCTGGTGGTTTTGAACTGCCACCCTTTGTGGTTCACAGTCCAGTGCTGATCCTACATCACCACACCCTCATATAGACACACAAAGACCCCAGTTAGAAGTGTGATTTACATACTAGTACACCAGTTCTCGTTGGCGGCACTAGTCACAATCTCCACAGATAGACAGAACCCACTGCCCACACCCAGATGTGGTCTTTGTGTACAGTGGAGTGTCACTGGGCTATAGAGATGACATTCTGACACACTGTCCCCTGGATAAGCCTGGAGGCATCATGTTCCCCATAGTGAGACACGCAAGAACACATGGCTACACCCCACTTATATGAAATAGCTAGAACAGGTCCACTCCTGGAGACAGAGACTGTTCCCAGGGGCTGGTGGAAAGGCGGGTTGGAATGGGAGTTGCTCTTTGTCAGAGTGTCTGTCTAGGTGTTAGAGACAGATGGTCATGATGATGGCTGTACAACATGGTGAATGTCATTCTTAGCGAAAAACGGTCAACTTTATGGTACATAAACATAGTTTAGGAGCCCCTGACAGCACAGTGGGTTAGGTATTGGCCTGCTAACAGGAAGGTCGGTGTTTCAAACCCATCAACCACCCCATAGGAAAATGATGAGCCGGTTGACTTCATAAAGATCTAACAGTCTGGGAAACTATGTAACGGTTCTGTTCTGGCCCAGAAGGTCGTGAGTCAGAATTCACTCAGCGACAGTGGGGTTTTGGTCTATGTATTTTATTACAGTGAAATTTTAAACTAAAATCTAGAGGCACAGAGTCTTGGTGCTCTTCCTGGACCAGCAGAGGAAATAAGAGACATTCGGGCCATCGTCCCTCTCGGAAGCAGCTGTCCAGTCTCATACATATTTCCTGACTGAATTATGAAGTAATTCCTACCTCCTGCAAGAGAGTTGGAGTCCTGGTACGGCACTGTGAGTTAATGCATCAGACTGCAAAGCCGTTTGAACTGCAAGGTCGGCGGTTCAAGCTCACCAGCTAGCTGCTCATTGGAAACCCTATCCAGGGTTGCTACGGGTCGGAATCGACTCAACGGGACTACACAACAACAACCTAAGAGTTAGGGTTGAAATTACTGGCGCTCTCTTGAACAAAGAAATGTGTTACACACGCAGGCAGCCTTTAGAAGGCACATAATAAAGTTTGTGGGAAATTCCATTATCTTTTTATTCCATTCTTTACAAACTTTTAGAAGCCCCACATACTTCTGAATGCAGTTTTGCCTTGCTTGGGGATTACAGGACCATCTGATTCCTGTGTGAATCCTAAACCAGCCATCTCACTGCTTGTTCTAAACCATGAGACATGAAGCACCGCTCAGAGAAGTCACTTCTTCACGTTGGGGATGTCTGGAAGCACAGTCCCTCCGCTGAAGGCATCTCTGGGTGCTAGTCTCTGACTTCAGGGGTACAATCTGTCCAGGGCCCAGGGCCTGTGACCAAATCAGTGAGGAAGACGCACACCACACCATGGAGGAGTGGAGGCAAGCCAGGGGAAGGAAACGTACGCTGGGTGGGGGTCAGCAGGTCTCCCAGATGGACAGGACCACAATAGCAGACAGCCTGTTGCAGTGGCCAGGAACAGTGCAGGCATAGTGGAGGGCGGAGCTACCACCAAGAGCCAAACAGCAGAGGGCTTTTGTTCCTGCCAAGTTTCGGTCTGAACAGGGGGCCTCCTGGGAGCACTCAGTTCTGGTGTGAGTGGGGGGGGATTCCCAAGCACAGTCCACGGGGATAGTAACTGTTGCTGCCCCAGCTCCCTTGGCTTATGTGGATGAACAAGCCCCTTCATTAGTCCAGACCTTTTTGTTGATGGGATACAGGCAGGAACTTGCTGCCAATCACAAAGCTGGTGGTTCAAACCCACCAGTCTCTAAGACAGGACGATAAGGCAGTCTGCTTCTATAAAAATTGTATCACAAATGCTGTGGGGCAGTTCTAATCTGTCCTACAGGATAACTGAGTCAGAATCAATTTGACAGCAATGGGTTTGGTTTTTAATTTTTTTAACAGACTATGGTGTGGCCCTGTGGACTGCAAGGTTGCACTGGACCGCAAGGTTGGTTTGAACCCTAAGGTCGGTGGTCCAAATTCACTAGCTTCTGATTGGAAATGCTATTCAGGGTTGCTATGAGTTGGAACCAACTCGACAGCACTTAACATTCCCCAATGAAAGTTGTTTTTATTTTCCCATTCATCATGATCCTGTGGCCATGTCTGCCTGACCTTGTGGTAAGTCTAATGTTGGCCTCTGCCCCCACTGTCTGCAGGAAGGGAAGCGGAGTCTCTGTGGTGAGCCCACCATCTTTTACATGCTTCACTGTGGGACGGCTCTGTACAACAACCTTCTGTGGAGTAACTGGTCAGTGGACGCCCTGTCCAAGCTGGTCATCATCGGAAACAGTTTCCGAGGACTTGAGGAAAGGTGAGCCCGGGAGAGCTGGGCTGCTGGCAGGCCTTCAGCAGGAAACCCTCCCGGGGCTACTGTGCCCTTGGAAATGCTATTTCATAGGGAGCAGGACCAGCGGTTCAGGGAAGAAGTCAGAACCTTGAACAGAGTCAGGCGGCCAGGAGTTTGGGTCAGGAATGGCCCCTTCTCCCATCCCAGATGGAATGTTCCTAGAGATGGGCACGGCCACTTGATTTCTCTGCTACACACTGCCGTCCCATTCCTGGTGCTTCGTCTTCTGTTCTTGTGACATGGGGTGCTTACTGGGTGCTTATGTTCCCCACTCAATGACCTACTCCAGGCCGTTTCCTGACTTCATCCATCTTGCCTGTGTGTCTTCAGTTGGATTTATCAGCTGCATACCTAACTATGGTGTCTTTTATTTCTAGGTTGTTGACAAGGATTCTACAGAAAGATTATCCCTATGTTGCAAAGGTATCTATTTGAACAAAGGGTTTGGGATGGCAGCAAGTGTGTTGTTCGGTGCCACTGAGGCGGTTCCACCCCACAGTAACCACACATACAACTGAAGAGACCCCTGCCCAGCCTGTAGCAGCCCCACAGCAAACACAAAGTCCTGAGTGTGAGCCGTTCCTCCTATACACACACAGGAGGGAGTTGAGGGAAGTGATTCTGGTCCATGAGCTTTCTTCATCCCTCCAGAAAGCTAGGACATTGACCTCCCACCCTCCACCCCAGTCAATTGACAGCCACCCTGTATGGGGATTCCTAGGCTGCGCATCTTGACAAGAGCAGAAAGCCTCCTCTTTCCCCCACAGAGCAGCTGGTGGTCAGCAGTCTAGAGCTGCTCCTACAGTACCACCAGGCTTCCTTAGGACATCCTGCTACATCTCAATGTTTTCAGTGCCCTTCACTAGTGGAACTGTAGTCGTCACGGCCACTGCTTTGGGGCTTCGGTCCATTACCCAAGAGCATGCCCACAAACTTGTTTCAATAAAAGAAGGTGGGGGTGGGGAGAGATGGGATTAAATAGAAAGAACCCCACAGGAGGGTCACTGGGTTATTGGGTCTCATGCTCCTGTGTGGCTGTTTCTGCTCAGGTTAGCCATGGTCTGGAGGAATTTCCATTTACTCAGACACCCCAATACATGGATGTGTTCAACGACACCTCTGTCCACTGGTTCCCAGCACAAAAGCTGAAACAACTCTCAGAGGACACATGGTCCTTCCGGGCAGAACCAGACTATCAGGACTGTGAGAACCTGGAAATCATCAGGAACCAGACAAAAGACCCTTCAGCTGCTGACTTGAACTCATAACAGTCTGTGTCAGCTGAGGAGGAAGAGCTGCCTCCAGAAGACAAAGAAAGGGTTGTGGTGGCTGGCGGCAGAGAACTCCCTAGGGCCACATTTCCATAGTTTGGCTGTCCTCTTGGGAGGATGGTGAATGTCAAAAATCCCCCTACCAGACCAGGCTACTGCCACAGATTCCAGTCCAGGGACTGCGCACGGCTCAGGTATCAGTCCTTGTGGTTGCAGCCATGGTGCCACACAGATGAGTATGCACGGAATTGTACAAAGATGCAGCTCACTGCTGGCAGTAAACAACAAAGCAGCATTATCCTGTTCTGTCTCCTTCCTGGTATGACCCTGCCCACAGACAGACAGACAGACAGATGTAGGCCCTGTAGGAGGTGGGAAAGCACTTTTATTCCCAGGGATGGAGTCCAGCCTGGGTCTACTTGGCCATGTCAATCAGGCTCTGCAGGGAGGTGGGCACCCAGGTCTTCTCACCCTGGACAAAGACCACACCACGGTCGATGTAAATGACGATGCGGCCGAAGGTGTAGAGCTGCTTCCCCTCGTGCCGCTTCCCAATAACTGGCATGAAGACCACGTTGTGCTCCTCAGCCTTTGTCTGTATCAGATCCTTAAAGTTCATGGGCACTGAACTGGCAGCCACCCCGATGCCCCTCTGGGCCATGTTCTCAGCCTCCCGCCGCTCCTGCATGGCCTCGTACTGGAAATCCTTCCTCCGCTCTGTGTGGGTGAGGTAGGCGATGTTCTCCCGCGCCCCGGGCTGCATGTAGGCACCTGAGACACAGACACAGGAGTGAGGAGACACGACCTGGGTCCAGGGGCCCTCTAAGACCCAACAAGTGACTCACCAGTGGGCAGGCAGCTCTGCCTCAAAGAACAAAGCACCAAAACAGAATGACCAAGTGCCTTTGGGAGAAGTGTAGACAGCTAGCTGGCCACACAGAACTCGGTCTGAAGGCATTTTAAGACTTTGTCCTCACAAAAGACCTGTGAGGAATTTACTGCTTCAGAACTGAAACCCGCCAGACATTTATTTGTTGGTGAGTGCCGCTCCTATCTTGTTCAGCTGAGCAGGCACTCCACGCTCACAAGGCTCTTAGAACCAACACTAGTTGTATCTATCTATGTACATGCCTTCTGCCCTGGTGGAGTTTAAGGATCCTGGTCAGGCTGGGGGCCTCCCCTAATCACCTTTTAGGTCTGAACTCCATTCACTCCCAGGACTCAATTTTTAGCCAAACAGACAGGTTTCTGAGGAGAACCATGACACTAGGGAGGTATGCATGCCTTGAAATGACCAACCATTTTAGATCAAAAGAAGAAAGTTCACAAGGGTTAGGAGAGGGGGAATGGAACAGGAATTACAAGGAGGAAGTGAGTAAGGGATGTTACATTGTTGGGAATATAATCAGTGAGATGAAAGTTTTAAATGTATCTGAATTGTTGAATGGAAAACTGCTCTGCTCTGTAAACCTGCCCCCAATTCACAATAAAGAGTTACAATTGAGATGATTGTGTAAAGGGTAAAAAGTTACACATGGGGAACGACAACATGGCTGTGTAAGGAACACAGCAGTCCACAGGCATCACCCTAACTGAGGAGCAAATGGAGCTAAAGAAGTTTCTAAAGAGCATGAATGGATTTAAAAGACATAGAGAGAAGCATAGAGGTATAGCTGCCCCACTACACGTTGTTAGGTGTCAGTTGTTTCATAGCAACCCTGTACACGACAGAACAAAACTGGTTCTGTGCCACCTTCACCATCTTTCTTAGGTTTGATCCAGTTGTTGTAGCCCCTGTCAATCCATCTCACTGAAGGGCTTCCTCTTTTTCACTGACTCTCATTAAACATCATCTATGACTTTGCAGATGCTATGAATAATGACCTATTTAGCAATGCTGGCCTGTGGTGTCCGGATGGCCAGGCACAAGCACACATTTACTGATGACCCAGACAGAACGGCCACCTGGAATGCCACAGCTGTGGGAACAGAGGAACAGAGCTGCCCACTTCAGACACGAATGGCAGCACCAGCTACCGTGTGCTGTTAAACAGACATCAATTCACTGGAGCCCCTTGCAACCCAACCTATGATGTGGGCATCCTAACTGACCGACAGGAAAAGACGTGGGCAAAGTATTAGAGCCTAAATTGGACACAAGCGGTTGAGCTTGAGAGCTACACCAGACATGGGCCTTACAGATGCACATGTGGGCCCCTTAAGGACACACGGCACAATGGGACAAGGGTGGGCTGTGGTGCCCGAACGACACACTGAAATCCAGGCCAGAATCAGCTACAGTCAGAAAAACTCTGCTCTCAGTAACAGCCATGGAAGTGCTCCTTAGAGGCGAGGCCAGCAAGACTTCATCTCATACCCTAGACATGTTAGGAGTGACCTGTCCTGGAGAAGCACATCCGGCTAGGTAGAGTGTCAGCTAAAAAGGAAAATGGAGTGAAACAGAGCCTCAAACATAGCAAGTATGGCACAGATCAGGCTGTTTTCGTTCTGTTCTGCAGTGTCACCGTGAGTGGGAACCCAATCAAAGGCAGCCAACAACAACAGTAGGTACTCGCTGAGCATGTAACTGAACACAGTAAGGAAGAGGCTCTGGTTCTAGCACCTCTGATCCTAGGGCCAGAACATCCAGAAATGAGACCCCCCCCCCACTCACCAACATTGGAGGAAACAGCCCTGTTCATGATGTCCAGTGCCTCATTAAATTTGTCCTTGACAGATGGGTGGGCCAGCACTTGGTCTGAGAACATGGACTTCCAGCCCAGGTACCACTTGGTGATCTCCTCGTAATTGGGGCTGTTACTGAGCCAGGAGCACAAGACCTGCCACCAAAAGGCAAACAAGAACCGCTTATACCCATGGTAGCAACCAACGGCAGCAAAACCCTCAGAGGGACCGACTTGTTTACAGTCCTGGTCCTACAAGCTGCTGACACTGCTTCAAGGGATCAAAGCCACTGCCAGCAAGTCAATTGCAACTCAGAGCACAACCCCACAGGCCAGGAGAGCTGTCCAATCCACTGGGTTTCCCAGGCTGTCCATGTTTATGGGAGCAAAGCGCCTCATCCTTCTCCTGAGGAGCAGCTGCTGGGTTTGAACTGCGATCACTGTACCACCAAAGCACCTTTCAAGGGCTCACATTCCTTCCATCTGGCACGAAAGACGATGGATTCTGTGGCCCTGCATATACATCCTCTGAGCCTCAGTCTTCCCATCTATAAAATCAGACTCAAGTCCCAAACCTAGCAGGGCACCTTGAGGAATCAAAAAGAGCACAAATACGTGTCACAACAGCACTTGGCACGTGACTACCGTCCAATACAAGGTGGCCGCATGTTATTAACGCCCTCCTGTTTCAGACCTAGGAGCTGTTCTGCAGGAGAAAGATGAGGCAGTCTGTTCCCGTAATGACTGACGGTCTTGGGAACCCTAGGGAGCAGGTCTCCTCCGCCCTGTGGGCTCACTCTGAGTCCGAATGGACTTGATGACGGTAGGTTTGGGTCTTTTTTGGCCCTGAAGCGTGTGATTTAGTCTCCAACTCCGCTCACCTGAAGCCACTTGGGGAAGAAGTGCTTTTCCAGGAGGCCGAGCAGGCTGGAGACGGAGATCATGCCTTCCCAATCCATGACCCAGTAGAAGGCATCCATGTGCTGCTGGTGGGGGTTGATGACAAGCTCCCCGAGACACATGCCTGGAAGACAAGTAACGCTGTGCCTTTCCAAGTCCACTGTAAGCCCCTCAGACAATTCTCACACATCATTTTCCCCTAGCCCACATGTGCCTCCCCCTTAAGGAAAACAGGACTGTATATGAGGGAGCTTATAAAAGTTTGAGGAAAAACAGAATGAAACAAAAAACGAAGTTTCCACAAGCTTTCTGAAGCCCCGTCATGAGACCACCAGGATATCCTATTGCCAGAAACTGCCCGCAGACCCTTGAGGGAGCCTGACGCTGGAGACCGGTAGTCAGGACCGTCAACAGCAGTCAGAAGTTGCTGATTCCAGAACAAGACCTCTCACACAGGCCACTGAAAGCACGGCGCCACATCCCTGGGGCCTGGAATGCCATTCCCCTCCTTACCCAGCTTGGGCACAATGTTCTTGACCATGAAGGCCTCCCAGGAGCCAGGGGTGAAGACCTCCTTCCAGGGCTGCAGGATGAGCTTGGCTGAGGCATCGCTGGGGTGCCACTTCTGCAGGGCACTGGACAGCTTGCTGCGGATGGGGGCGTAGAGCGGCTCTAGCCGCACCTGCATGAGGGGGAGCCATGGGTGGATCCATGAGTGGATGGGCACCGTGTCCGTCAGTGGGTTCCAGTTCTCCACCTGCGGGGGGACGAAGAGAGTGGTAACCCCACCCAGCACAGCACACAGTGATGCATGACGCAGTCTGCCACTTGTGAGGCAGCGGGAAGGCCACTTTGTAGAGCTCCTACATGACCTAACCATGCTGTGCTACAAAACCTCAGAAATGGCACCGTCCTTATTGAAATCAAGAAATAAAAGTGCCCTGAAGGTGAAATTTGGGAGAAAAGAACTGAATCAAAGGCCTGAGTTAAAATCATAAGGCCCCCGCTAGCTAGCCCACTGCCACGTCTTGTTCCTTCTGGCCATCTGGCGAGCCCTCAGAGTGAGCAGTCCACTGTCACAGTACTGACAGTGACCCTGGAGGACAGAGCAGAGCCGCTCCACGGGGTTCCGAAGACCCAGCCTTCCGGAGAGCACAGCCTCATGTCTCTCCTGCAAAGTAGCTGGTGGCTTCAACCTGTCCAAAGCCTAACCCACTGTGCCACCGCCCACAGCTGTCGAGTCGATTCCAGCCCTCAGTGGCCCTGGATAGGGTTTCTGAGGCTGTCAATATTTACAAGACCACACAACCTCATCTTTCTCCCAAGGAAAGGCTGGGTGGCTTTGAACCCTGTGTCACCAGCAGGGGTCTTAGCAGAACTACTACACCAACCCGTGGTATAGGTCACTACATGGTCACTTAGGAATGGCTGTTCTCTGCTCAGCCTGCCCACCTCCTCCTGCAATCGGGGGAAGATGAGCTGGTCCAGGATATGGTCGGAGACCCACACAGGGATGATGTGCACCCAGCTGTCCAGGAAGTCCACCATCGGGTCACACTGCCTTGGTTGCCACTGCGGTATGATATTCCGGACAAGAGGTATCCAGACTTCCCAGATAAGCCTGTGGGAGAGGTGGAGGGGAGATACCATTATCCTTCCAAGGGGTTCCACGTATGAGTCCCACCCACCTCTCTCAGACAGGACAGAAAGCACACCAGGTGGAAATCAATCTCAGAAAACCAGAGGCCAGTCCCCACGTTAGTGGACCTGAGCAGACTCCTCCTTGGGCTCATGCACACAGCAGCCCTCGACCAAGCTCAAGGCCCTGCCGTCTGTGCTGTCCCTACTATCACCCCGTTCCCAGCACAGCTCGCACACAGGCTTGCTCTAGACATGAGGCTGATGTCCAGCCATCCCTCTCACCACATCCCCAACCCACCCAGGCAGGTGTGCGCCCCTGCTGTACCAGACGGGGCTACTGCCCCACACCTGGCCTTCAGCGGACACGCAACCAGTGTTCATTTAACACACTTTGGTTAAATGAGACATAAGTTCATTTCCAGTCCCCCAGAGCAGTACCCGCAGAGAACAGTGTGTTCGAAGATGGTCCCCCGCCTCCCACGCCATCCTTCCCAAGCTCAGGGGAGGTGGAAGTGAGCAGCATTCACCCGCCACAGGTACCTGTGGAAGGCGTCCGCCGAGAGATCCTGGCCACCGTGGGACAAGATCTGGTCATTCTCCAGCAGGCGCTTCCACCTGGAAATGGTCTCGGTGCCATATGTGCAGTCTTTGAGGGGGTCCCAGTTCCGGAAGTAGTCCTTCATGAGGGGGTAAACAATGGCCACGGCCAGGTCCACACGGTCAGCCATCCTGTACTCCTCGTGGTACTTGTCCTGCAGGGTCTCGAAGATGCGAGCGCACTCATCCAGGGAGAGCGGGTCACTGCAGTGGGGCTGCATCCGCCGCTCACACCCCTCCACCAGCTCCAGGACCCTGCTGAGGTTGGAGAGGACACGCTCCTCATGCCGTAGCACCTCGGCCGTCTTCTCCAGCTCATGGGACAAGTTGACCACCATGTCACGCTCATACTGCAGCTGCCGGTCATTGTGGATGATCTCCTGCTCTGTGAGGTCGATGAGCAGCTGCAGGTTGTGCTCCAGCTCAGGCAGCGCGAAGCCCGGAGCCTTGGCCTCCTTGGTGGGCAGCGGCGGCGGCAGGGGCAGCCCATCGTCAGGAATGCTGTGCTTGTGGCTGATTTGGCTGTAACTGTAGTAGACCTTCTGCTCGCGGCCCGTCATGTCTATGACCTTGGAGAAGGTGGTGGAAACGGGTCACGTTAATGCTCACAATGGATCGACACCATTTCCCAGGGAAGGCACGAGGCCAGGGACGGGCAGGGCAGTGTGGCTGAGCACTGGGTTCACGGGGACTTGAGGGACACAGCATCAGATACAGGTGAGGAGCTGCACTGTTCTTTCCTCACGCCCACCCCTCATACCCTACCCCAGATAAGCACATTGTCCTGGGCCTACTCACACTCCAGTCGTATCATCAAAGCCCCTAAAAACTGACCAGACTGTTTAGGAAGGGCTGGTGAAGCCGCCCGAGGCCAGGCATACTTGTTGTCACCCTCCCTTCCCAGGAAGCAATGGGGTGACAAGTACTCAGAGTCCTACACATTTTCACATCCTGCTGGTGGTACTGATTGGAACCTGTCCTACAGAAATGCCAACAACCTAGCCTGCCCCAGACCAAACCAACGCACAGAGCAGGGAAGCTCTAGCACCACAGAGGTGGGATTGGGCATGCACCTTACATGTGGTGCTCACACTGTGTCCCTGGTGGCGTTGTGGGACCAACGGCCTGTGGCTCCATAAAGAAGGAAAGCCACTCTGTTGGCACCCTACAGGAACTTGTACCTATTACTGGATGTGGGGGTGCAAGGAATGGGGACACACTGATGGCCAGTAAGGAAAAGAAGGCCGAGAGCAAAGGTCTCACAGCCCTCCAGGAATGCCTGTGACTGACCGTTCTTCCCAACCACCCTCCAGGCCCATGTGTCAAGGGCCCCATACCTTGACCTGAGAAAGCTCCTTCTGGGGGGCGCTGAGCTTCTTGCTGATCCTGCCTTTGGCCTTCAGCTCTTCCACTGTCTTGTAAGAGTACTTGGGCTTCTTCTTGCTCCCACTGGGGTCTTTCCTCCACTGGCTCAACTCCTTCTGGAACTCCTGAAGCACAGAGATGTGGTCAATTGCAGCAACAACAACAAAAGGCCATTTCCACAGCTGGGGGGCCACTCATCATCAACACTAGCTCTTGTGCTATCGGCATTGTGCCCTGGTGTTGTTGTTATGGGGTACCACCTGTGTTACTTGTCAACCCATAGTGACCCATGTGACAGAACTGGCCCCCTTGAGTATTCTAGGCTGCCATCTTTGTGGGACCAGATTGCCAGGTCTTTCTCCTGGGGAACCTCTGGGTGGGTTTGAACCACCAACTTTTCAGTTAGCAAGCTGAATACTTACTTAACTGACTAGAAAGCCATGGACTGCTACTCCCTGTCCCGCCTCCCTTTACAGAAAATGCGGGAGAAGCCAGGGTACCCGAGTAAAGGGAGAAACAGGGGAGGTTACTGTGCATTTATGAGGGGGGTGCACTGGCTAGCTTTAAATGTACCTCACCTGAACCCTGGAAAGGCAAGACAAAGGATTCTTTTAAAACTATTACAAACAAAGGTAGATGGGCAGACCCCAGGATTTCCAGGCAAAGAGACCGCTTTCCCTTGGGATTTGCCAATGCTTTTCTGCAGGAGGCTCTAAAGCTAAGGGGAAGTGGTGGACTGAGGGTCAGAGAGTCCGGCCCACAGAAGTGGCTTCTGGGGGACTGCTTTGCTTTTCTCACAATGCCTTTAAACTTGACACTTAAAAAAACAAACAAACAAAAAAACAAGCAAACCCTGGGCTTCTGGCCATTCCCACCTGGCAATCATCACCTGAAACCAAGTGGAAGGTACCACCCTAGGCAGGTCCTCCCCTCCCATGTCTGCTGCAGTCCCCACCTCTCCCTGTTGTCTCTCCAGCCTCAGCTGCATGGATGGCATGCCTGGCACCTGAGAACCCTCCTATCAAACAGCTCCTCTCTCACTCGGGAGAGACTCCGCCATGGGCAACGCAAAGGCATCTTTCAGCACAGTGCTGATTCTTCTGCTGGAGCCCAGCTACACATCTGCCAGTAGATGGCATCCCACTACTCTCAGCACAGAATCCCAGCACCAAAACCTGGCCCCGGCACTCCTCCCTTCCCCTCGGCTTGCGGCCTTCCTGCCACTACAGCCTCCTAATGACAGCTGCACCAGCCAGCTCAGAGCTGCCCGCTCCGTGTTCTCCAGCCTGTTGGGTCCCCCTGAAGTCAGCATCCACTCTTCTACCTGCTTCCACTAGAAAAATTTCCCTCCAGGGGACCTTTCCAGATGGCCCCCATAGTCACTCAGAACCACACTATATTGCTTGTTGCCAAACACTGTCCATTGTGGCACACTCCATTCCTGGCACAGTACCCAGCCACAAGTGTGTAACAGCATGTGGAGACTGTTGGAATGAACGAATGAACCAACAGCCAGCCATCTGAAATGGCAGAGAAGAAAGACCTCCCCCCATCCTGGTCCCCCGACTTCTAGTGAGTTACCTCTTCAGCTTCCTCATCGGAGTCCACGACTGGAAAATCTTGCAGGGACTGAGTGGTGCGCTCCGAGCCGTAAGCCCCCACAGCCCCTTTGCCCTTTCTCTGTTTGGCTTCAATCGGATTGATTATACCTGGCCAAGATCACCAAAGGAAAAGGAGAGGGTGGTAAGGACCAGCACGTCATGAATCTGAACCAGCCGCACATGGCACTCACACGGGAAACACTTCTCAATGTGCCACGTGCTTGTCAACCTCAGCACTCATTGCTTGCCCAGCACACAGCTGCTGTCCTTAATGTGGCTTGCACCTGGACTTGGATTTTTAATGGAGGAAATGAAAATGGAAATGGAATCATCCTTTTACTGTTGGGAACTCTGGCATAATACGTTTTACACTGTACTTGATTGGAAGCCTCTAATATAGATAGTACAGTAATTTAGATAACATGCTGATTCTGTTTAAAGTCTTTCTAAGACGGGGGGGAAAAGAGAGTTGTGGGAAAATTCCATTTTTTCAAAATTTTATGTTTCCATGACCATTCTAATGGCTCTTGTAGACGCTGCAAGTGGAGAAGAAGCTCCAAGTTTATTTTAAGTAGTACAGCCATGCATCACTGAATGTGGCAGTATGTTCTGTGAAATAGGTTGTGTGTGTGGTTCAGATGTTGTAAAAATACCGTATTATATATATAAGCAGTCCCACAAACTAGTTCCGTTCCCAAGTATCTCTTTAAATAAAATTTGCATATAAGTTGGGTTAGGTGTAGTTCATATCTACCATCAGCTAACCAGACGTTTGTCTTTTGTATACACTGTACCTTTCTATGCATGAAAAAAACAAAGGCATAAAAACTTCCAAAGATACTGAAACATCTTTAACATCCAATACAATAACAGTAATAATAATGCTGTGATGCACATCACAAAGTAGTGCCCATTTGTTAAGAACCATTGCATGTACCTACAATTTGTACTATAGACTTTATAGAGATTGGGACCACACACATGTATGAAGTTGGCCACTGCCTAAGATGGACAATACTCAGCACGACAGCGTTCATATTTTCTACATTCAATTTATTTCATGACATATTCAAGCCTTAGAAATGAATGTTGTTGTTTTCTTATTAAAAAGGTACAACTAAGGCCACAAAAATGCAATGCAGATTACTCCCTACCCCACCACCACCTAGTTCTATAAAAGCCCAAACCAACCCCGCTGTGGTTCAGTCTATTTTGACTCAAAAGTACTCAACAGGGCAGAGACAAACTGCCCCATACCTTTCCGAGGCTGTAAATCTTTATGGAAGCAGACAATCTCATCTTCCTCCTAAGGAATGGTCAGCAGGCTCAAACAGCTGACCTTGCAGCTAGCAGCCCCACACCTGACTGACGTATTACGTTTCACCAACTCCCTCCTTTCCATAGAGTACTGCTTAAGTCTCAAATCAGAACCGGTCTCTTCTGTTTCATTCCAGCCCACCATCTCCATACACCATGCCATTTTTCATACAGCTTAAGTTCTGCACACAGAACTTGGATCTGAACTTCAAACTGTGTCAAGGGAGCTGGACGAGAATGACAGAGGGCCCTACTGCTTAGTTAGCCTATTAGCTTACGGGTTGTTTGGAGAAAGCAAGGTGACTTAAAAGGGCAAGTGCAGAGACAAAGTTCCTTTTGAAAAGGCAAAGGCAGAGCCAGCGCTGGCCAGTCCTCCAATGAGCCCTCTTCTCAGAACCCTCAGACCTGCTCCCTGGTGCCAAAGCGGCGGCGTGTTACCTTGTGCATTCTTCCCCAGGCCCCTCCCTGGGACGTAGCCCATCTTCTGAAGCAGCTTCTGTCCAATCCCTTTCGTGTGTCTTTCCCAGCTGCCAAAGTCCATGAACGACTTGGTACCTCCTGCAAAACCTTTCTGGCTGGGTTTAAAATTGCCACCCTGAAGAGAAAGAATAGCAACCTTAGTGGATGGAAGCAGGAGAAGAAAACTGTAAGCAAGTTTAGCTGGTGGAGTAATCCCCGGGCAATCTAGAAAGTGTAACGTGAACCACACCTCCATCTGGGATGTGGGTCAGTTATGAAAGGAAAGTGCCCTGCGCACCTCCCACACACCTGAGCCCCTCCTTCTAGGAGACACTAGAGGACCTTTTAGTCAGGGCCAGACGATACCGTTTTTAACTTCTTTGGTCCAAAATCCTTAGGGAAGTCCTCCTGCTTCACAGGTCTCTCCTCGTCATCAGAATCTTCCAACTCCGCCTCCTCAGCCGCCCCTTTCTTGAGCCCCGCGCTGATGAAGTTGACGGGTGCAGAGTAATCCCGGGCCCTGCAACCCAGACACAAAGCCCTCTGCTGTAGCCAAGCTGTCTGGAGATTGTGCTCCATAGGGAATACCCGAGATAACAACTCATAGAGCACATCTGAAAAGACCCCCGTCTAACTAGCTAGCACAGTCTGACCTGAGCGGGCCCACTGACACTGAGTGAGTTGCTTCTCCTGTTGCCCTTGTGGTGAGCTCTTGAGGAACTTGTGTCTCCTTTCCACCGCCCTCCCACCCTACTCCTTCACTGGAGCCACGTGCTGCTTGAGCCCAGATGATGCGCATCACCCAGGCTGTAAGAGGTCAGTGCCAGAGGTCACCACCATGACAACAGAAAACAAGCTGCAGGGAAGCACAGTTCAAACCCATGCTGTTCAAGAGTCAGCTGGAAACTGACTTTAGCCTGCCTGCAGGTTGGCTCCTCTAGCCCTGGAGTTGTTCAAGGGCCAACTGTATGCTGGGCTATCAGAAGACACCCAATCCTGTAATCCTGGCTTCATCTTCTGTGTTTCAGTCAAGTCTCAGGCAGGCAGAAGAGGCAACAGTACCAATGTAGTGGATTATCAGTTCCAAATGTGATAATCCAGTTTTCCTTACACACCTTTTAAATTAGCTTGCTTTAAAAAGTCTTTGTTTCTGACACTATTTCAAGTACAAAATCAAATAAGAAGTTCTGATACATTAAAACCATATATAAAATCCACCAAGAGAGATTATAGAGACAGAAAGTACATTCATGGTTAAAAGAATCCCATGTTAGAAAATAGGCCCTCATCCATTAAATAGATCAGAACAAGAAAACAAAACTACAACCCAAAAACAAACATGATGGCGGATTGGATTTACATGCAATGAGGAGCTCCATCGGCAACAACACGGAATACTGGACCAAGCAGGCTCAGGGGATGGTCCCAGAACTTTGAACCACATATAAAGGAATATTTAGAAAGTTGGAAGGCTTACAACTAGGGGAATTTGTAGCAGAAACAAGAAATCCATTTCTTTCTAATTCAAGATGCTCAGGAGATCCCAGAGCCACCATCTTGGAAGAGACCAAGTGGGGGAAGGATCAGAGCAGCCACGGACGCCTATGAGAACCATGAAGATAACAGAGTGGACATTCTTATTTTTGTATCTGTTCATTGGCCTCTCACTGTCTGAGCACCTCCATTCTGATGACTAGAGGGAGTGCCTAAGCAAGTGGACACCCCACTTAAAACCAAACGGCAGTGCAAAACGGCCACAGCCAGCCCAGAATTGTTTATCACTAGGAAAAAGGCCTGAATGGGGGTTGTGGAGCAGGACAAGCAAACTGAAAAGCAAACAGGCTGAAAATTAAATCCTGAGTTACATCACAACAACCAACAGTGGTATCTTGCAATTTCTCAGGAAGTAGAGTGAAAAGGGAAGCCCATCTCCTAAGCACATCAACCTGGAGGCAATCGGAAAGCATAAAAAAATACCAAAATACACATCCATCTAAGTATAAAGGCCACAGATAACAACTGAATATGCCCAAAAAACAGAAACAGATGACCATATCAGCAAATCTCCAGTAATAAGGTAAAGTGACTGAGGTAAATGAGCTGGAAGTAGACCTACACTCCATACTGGAACATGGGCAGGCTTTGGAAATGCCTGAGAAGGAATTCAGAAAAATGATTATAAAATGTATCAAAACACTATACAATGGAGTTGAGAAAAATAATGAAGAAGTCAGGAAAACGTTACAGGAACAATCAAATAAGATAGATACAGCATTGGAAACAATTCAAAACCTACAGAAAGAGGTCCAAACGATTATTAATAGACTATCAGAAATGGACAATACACTGAAAGGGCAAAGAAGTAAAATTGTAAAGAGACAGAAGCCCGAACTAGTGAGCAAGAAGAGAAATCTCTCAATACTACTAAGATAGAAGAGCAAGCAGAAAAAAACGATAAAAGGCCTAAGATTCATGTTGGACAATATGAAGAGGAATAACTTAAGAACTATCAGCATTCCAGAACAGGAAGAACCACACAAGTCCACAGAAGAGATTGTTGAAGAGCTTCTGGAAGAAAATTTCCCTAACATTCTGAAAAGTGAAAAGATAAGCACTCAAGACACTCAATGAATCCCAGGAAGGATAGACCCTAAAAGACAATCACCAAGACATATAATAATCAAGCTTTCCAAAGTCAAGGCTAAGGAGAGAATCCTGAAAGCAGCTAGGGAAAAGAGAAGTGTAACATACAAAGGCAAGCAAATCAGATTAAGCTCAGATCTCTAAATAGAAACCATGCAGGCAAGAAGGGAATGGGGAGACATACTTAAAACCCTGAAAGAAAAAAAATTTCCAACCAAGAATCCTCTACCAGCAAAGCTGTCAATCAAACACAAAGATGTAATCAAAACATTCCAGGGTAAACAGAAGCTAAGGGATTTTGTCAAAGCCAACCCTGCTATGAAAAACATCCTAAAAGAGGTTCTGTGGCCGGAGAACCAACAAGAACAGACAGCAGCCAGATAATGACGTATGTGGCAGCATCACCCTGAACTCAACAGACAAAATGGAAGAGTCAAGAACAGAATAAAATTATAAATACAGAGGATCTGGGAGTTCAGTCTATGATCAAAAGAATTACAATGTGAAAGAAGGTAAACACAGAGGAAGAGATCCAGGTGGTGGGAAGGTCAGATAGATTATAGGATAAAATAGACTGTCTTAAATGGAGGGAAGAGTTAATGGAATATAAAGTAACCACAACAATGAGGTTGGGGTGGGGGATTTAGTTCGGGTCTTGGGGAGAGCAATACGAGAAGGGGAAGGAGGTGGAAGAACAAGATAGATAGGGGAACACTGAGACAGGTTTGCATGGCCTAAGTGGGACAGAGGTAAATAGTGATGCATCCTCAACCTTGGAACAACAGGGCTCTGTGATACAGGGATCTAGGCATAGCTTGAAGAGGGGAAATAATACTAAAATACTTGAGTGTCTTATGAATACTGGTTTCCCTTGCCTACTATTGTAAAAGAGAAACTTGAGTGGGATAGAAAGGAATGTTGGGAAACATGATTAGAGAAAACTTGTAAACTCGTCTTCAGCCTGTAACTGATTGGAATACCTAAAAGGGGTTCTAAAACTTGCCCAGTGAAATATGCCTCTTGCAAAGTCTTTGCAGAGTATAGGACCTTAGGTGGAATCCTGAGTCCCATCCAGAACTTTCTGAGGTGGGGCATTCCCACTAGAAAGGACAAGCAGACCAGCCTAGAACAGCTAGAGTAACAGAAGATACATTTTCAAAGAATGATCATCAGGAAAAACCCAAAACAAAAATGTCAGCATGACTGGCTACTACAAGAATTAGCAACCTGTTTGTTAGAAAACCGTCAAGGCAAGCAATCATGTTCCTTCAGGACAAACTCCCCTCTAAGACTGAAACTCAAAGCGAACATACAAACAGGCATGTAAGTTTTCTGGCGACCACACTGATTCACTGGTGAGTGAAATTTGGGGAAAGGCAGCAATGAAGAAATGGGCTGAGTTCAACCACAGTCCATTGACTCCTGTTGACCTGGAGATGAGAGAGAGAAGTGGAAGGGCTGGTTGGTGAGACCTGGGGACACTCGAGCCCATAGACAAGGACACAGCCACAGAGGGCTAGTGTTGAGAGTGAAGCATCCAGCTGATATGAAGTGAGGAGAGATGCACAGAACACCCAAACTTGCAGACAGTAACCATTTGACCTAGCCTTAATGGTTTGATAATCAGAACTCAAGTAGAGGAAGATTACAAAAAAAAAGAGAAGAATTTTTTTTTTTTTGGATAAAGGAAACCAGGGTAAATTGCAATTTGATATACCTGACATATACTCATGGTAGTAGTAACTCTAAATACCAACAGAGAGGAAAGGAGTCTTCACATCAAGTATCAATGCTATCCCCTCTGTACAAAGGGTAGATAGGGACGGGCAACTTAGACATTGGCTACCTAAAATGAGGGGGCAATAAAGGCATGAAGTGATTGACTTATAAGGTTTCAAGAGGGAGTTTAGTTTAAGAGTTGGGGAGAGGAGAAAGAGTCCCCACTAATAGTTTTCATCTTGTCTAGACGGGTCTGGTGAAAAGAGATGGAGATAAGATTTGAATGATTCAATAATGAATAATTGTTATCATAACTAATTGCGACTGTCATAATTGTAAAGGTAGAAGTTTGTAACAAAAACAGGGGAGTGGTTAATCTTATAGTCCAGAAACAGAGGATCCCAGGACCATCAAGGGAGAAGAGCACAAGCAGAATGCGGGACCTTATCCAAAGCAGCAGCAACGCCAGAGATGGAGGCAAAGATGGGGGCATGGAGAGGGAGAGCAGCTGAGCACTCTAAATTCATGGTAAGAGAGGGACTAAGAGTTGGTGGCCAAGAGGCAGACTTGCACAATGTGCCCTTTTGAGGTGTAAATTCTTATATATTCCTGAGTGTTTTTGTTTTTAAAAAAAGCTAAAATGAATATAGAGAAATACTGTTAACTGATGATAATGGAGGGGATTATAATCATTGTAATGAAACAAGGTGTATGATTTGTTGAATGTAAAACTGATGATCTGCCCTGTAAGTTTTCTGTCAAACCACAATAAAAACCTTTAAAAAAATAATAAATAAAACCCAATAAATGAACCTTGTGAGATGAAATGTGTTGTTTTTTTTCCTTGACTGCTCCAATAGCCCTTCTACTTAGACCCTTTTGTTATGAGACTGACCTTGTGTGGATCAAGGAACAAAACGTAAAATGTCTAGAGATACTGCAAACCAGTGCAATCCTCTATTAAGTGATGGACCTAGTAATAGAAGAGGGCTTCCAAAATTTCATGTGAAAATGGAATGAAAAGAAAATGGGATTTTCACATGAACTCTTTGAAGCCCCCTGGTAAGATACCCCATGGCAGCAACAGAGGGGGACTCATAGAGCTTCGTGCTCCCAAAAAGCAACAGAACTGAGTAGTTCGAGTCCAAACCCTATAGAGTCAGGCCCAGATTCCAATCCTTGCCCAGCCTTTGCGTAGACCAATAGCCTTTGGCCTCATCTGTCAAAAGGGGATTTGAATAGCATCTTTCTCATAAGGTAAATAAAATGAGGCATGCAAAGTACTGGGAATAAATAAGCAGCAAATAGATGTCAGCTGTTCTGATTATCTTTTCTGCAGTTCTTGACCCTAATCTATTTATCATCTGATGTGGGATCCCTAGTGGTGCAGTGGGTAAAGCATTGGGTTGCTCATGCTAAAATCGGTGGTTTGAATTCACCAGCCGCTCCAAAGTGAATAGACGAGGCCGTCTGCTCCTGCGAAGATTTAATAGTCTTGGATACTCCATGGAGCAGTTCTCCTGTGTGTCACAGGGTCACTGTGACTAGGAATCACCTTGATGGCAGGAGGTTTGACAAGTGAGAAGAGTCTGAACTAATCCCTATCCACCTTTTCCCCAGTCCCCTTTGTGAATGAGGCACCACTTCAGCGGGGCAAAACCCACAGGCCACATGACCCTAAATCAGCACGCACACTCTCTGGTCCTAGGGAGCTGCCGCCCCTCACACATCTCCCACCTGGTTCAAGCCTTCAAGCCCTCTGTGCCTCCCCACTCTGCAGACAATAGCCTCCTCCAGGAGCCCCTCACCCTCTGCATACTGCCTGTCTCACCTTGCCCTCCAGGCCACCGGCTCCAGCCTATGGCCACCCTGCTCCCCTTCCCCCTCACCGCCAGCACAGGCCCCTGTGCATCCTCCTGCCTCTCCTTCCACATCCCCACTGGCTCAGGGACCCTCCTCCAGAGACATCCCAGAACAGGTTCGAAACACCATTCCAGGAGCCCCGTTTCTGTGTGAGGGCAGGACCCTGCATTCTAGAAGGTGAGTTCTTGCACCTAGCACTGCTCCATAAACACTGGATGGATGATTGAATAAGCCAAAGAACAGCTTTCTCGCCTGAAAAGGGAACTGAGCCTCCCTGAAGGACTCCGTGAGGCCAACAGAGAATGAGATTTGTCAAGGGGGCTACCTGGCACCCACCAACAACACCCCATCCCTAAAGCAGGGGGAACAGCCTCAGACAGGCCAGTACCGTTTGCCTCCAAAACTGGGCCTCTCTTCATCCGAGTCTCGCTCTGCCCACACCCCGTAGGTGGCTTCTTCCTTGGTCTGCCAGTGACGCTGCCGATTGGGGTTGAACTCATTCTGGAGGTCCCAGTCGGTGATCTCAAAATTCTCGTGTTCATCCTCATCCTCATCCATGTGGCCTTCCCCATCCCGGTACAAGTGGGACAGCGACATAGCCGATCCCTACAGGGAAGGACAGAAAAGGCAGAGGCTGTGAAAAGTCCGGGAGGTGGGTGGGGAGTGGGGCCAGAGGACCACTTCCTGTAAATCCCAGTTCGTTGCTGCCTTCAGAACTTCAGCTACACTCCAAATCTGTTTAAATCAGACCACGATCAGTAGAGCAGCTGGTTAAGACACCAGGCTGTTGCAAAAAGTTCCCGGAAAAATTGGGATTATAAGAAAATGGAATTTCCCCAACTCTTTGGAGTCCCTTCATATTTCAGAAAACAATCAGCTCTGCAACAGGTCAATAGAAGATTAGTTTCAACCATCCATGTGATTTTTAAAAAGTATGACACAACCAACACACACAAAACCACACACCACCATTCACCCACATATCCACAAAGCCACACACAACTAAATAAATATGTTCCATATATGCTGTTGTTGTTAAGCGCCTTCAAGTCGGTTCCAACTCATAGCAACCCTGTGTAGGACTGCCAAGGAGCCGAACTTGCAGTTCAAACCGACCTTGCAGTCCAGTGCATTATTCCATCACACCACACCAGGACTCCATTCTATATATGAGGTACATGAGGGGGGTTCAAACAGTATGTGGGAAAAAAATCCATCTTTTAACTCCATTTTCTGCAAACTTTCAGAATCACCCTCATAGTTTGCATCAGAAATTGGCAGACATCTTCCTGAACTCCAGAGTAGAGTCTTTCTATTACTGAGGAAATCTTTGTATCTCGCATGGGTTCAGAACAGTGGTTTTGAGGGGGTTGGGGTGTGCTTTCTGAGAGCCACTACTTGAAGAGACAAGACTTGTACAGCTATCATTCGTTTTCTTTCCCTCACAGGCCACTCTGGATGATGAGCTGGAAGATAGCAGTCACTGCAGACGCTGCCTGAACAGTCGGGCACACAAGGAGGCTGCAAAACACTCATAGAAACATGAAATGGGAAGAAAAGGGAATCTCTCCACAAATTTTTTGAAGCCCCATTGTATGTGGGTTGGAACAGACACTCCACAGCTTGGATAAGACTTGGCTGTCTCTTTCTTAAACTGAATTAGTTACTGTTCCAGCTTTAGTGAATGTAAAGGGGGATTGCAATGAGATGGAGCCTTCAAAGTCACTTACAACTAAACACCAAGCCAAGTGTCACTGAGTTAATGAGAATTAATAGCAGCACGATGTATGTCAGAGAACTATGTGCCACTGGGATTTTCAAAAGCCAATTGCCGGGCTCCGCCCCAGTGATCGGTACCTCATGAGACTTCGCGAAGGCCCCTCTCTTTTTCGTCTCGACAGCTGACATGCCATCCATCCAGACTGCGGAAGACCCGGAAACTTAGAGGCATGTGAGCCACGACCATGACAAGCACCAGAAGCACCATGGAGGCCGGGGTAAAGCTGGCGGCTTGCATCATCATAGGATCAACTTTGACAAATATCATTCAGGTTACTTTGGAAAGGTGGGTATGAGACATTATCACTTGAAAAGGAACTAGAGTTTCTGCCCACCTGTCAACCTTAATAAATTGTGGACCTTGGTCAGTGAGCAGTAAACGCTGCCAAAAATAAGCCTGGTGCTGCTCCCATCATTGATGTGGTGCCATAGGGTTACTAAAGTTCTGGGGAAGGAAAAGCTCCCAAAACAACCTGTCATCGTGAAGGCCAAATTCTTCATCAGAAGAGCTGAGGAGACGATGAAGGGTATTGGGGGTGGGGGGTGGGGGGCTGTATCCTGGTGGCTTGAAGCAACATGGAAGTTAATTAAATGTTCAGTGATTTTCCCTTAAAAGAAAATAAAGCCAATTGCCTAGTCTTTCTTCTGGGGTGGCTTTGGGAGGACTTAAACCACTAACCTCACCTGCCAAGTGCCTAAATATTTGCACCACTAAGGGACACCAAGGCCTTGGTGTGGCGCTGTGGGTTAATGTGCCAGACTGCAAAGCCGTTTGAACTACAAGGTTAGTGGTTCAAGCTCACCAGCTGCTCCTTAGAAACCCTATACAAGGTCGCTATGCATCGGAATCGACTTGATTGGCATTTAACAACAACAAGGGACACCAAAGGAGCTCTGGTAGCGTAGTGGTTGCGAATCAGGCTGCTAATCTCACGGTCAGCAGTTCGAAACTACCAGTCGATCCGCGGGAGAAAGATAAGGCTTTCTGCTCCCGTAAAGATTTACAGCCTCAGAAACCCTACACAGGGTCGCTATGAATCGGATCCGACTCCATGGCACATAACAACAACAACAACAAAAGGGACACCAAAAGCATTTAATTCATAAATTCATAACAACTGCTCCACGAATAAAAGCTGCTGCTGTAGGCATCACCCTGGTTAAACTGATCATTGCTATTACGATTACAGGAGTCCTGGTGTGGCACTGTGGGTTAATAAACTAAACCCTTAGGTTGGTTTGAACCACAAGGTCAATGATTCAAATTCACCAGCCGCTCCTCAGAAACCCTACACAAGGTTGCTATGAGTCAGGACTGACTTGACAGCACTTAACAACAACAACAAAATTACAATTACAGATGAACCTTGAAAAGTGATTATGACATCAAATCAAAGTTAGGTTGACAGAAAATCTACACATGCACTTATCTTTGCTGCAAATCTATCCCTGAATGGGGTGGACCAAGCACACAGGGGGCAAGATTATGAAAAATTTCTCAGATATCACCAAATACCTGAGGGTTCAGGACCACAGTCTTGGGCACAACAGTCCACAAAGACAATGTTCTACATTCTACTTTATTTAGTGAGCTGTGACTGGGGTCTTAAAAGTTCATGAGGACCCATCTAAAGTACAATATTTTTCTCTCCTGTCCACAGGAAAGAATACTGAAGAAAATCGAAGGCACATGAAAACAATCCAAGGGACTAATGGACCACAGGAACATCAGACTCTATACCCTGAGATCAGAAGAAACAGCTGCCGCCCCCCCCCCCCGCCCCTGCTACCACTACCAACTGTTCTGAAAGGGATCGCATTAGAAGGAACTAGATAGGGTGGTGGAAAAATGTGGAAGAAAACTCAAATTCATAGAAAAGACCAGATTTACTGGTTGGATAGAGACTTAATCACCCTACAGGTCTAGAACTGAACCCACTCCTATGGATCAATTTTCAGCCAAACAATACTCCATAAGGGGAACAATATAACACTAGGAAGGCATGCACACCTTAGAATAATCAACTATTTGAGATCAATAGGGCAGCATTTTCCCCAAGGACAAAGTTTAGAAGGGTTAGAAAAGGAGAAAGGATGGAATCAGAAAACACAAGGAGCTAGTAGTATGAGTTTTGTTACATTGTGGAAATCATAACCAATGACACCAAACAAAATGTGTCTGAATTGTGCAATGGAAAACTGACCTGCTCTGTAAAACATCACACAATTCACAATAAAAAGTTGAATAAAGAACCCCCAAATACCAGTATTTAAAAGGAGAGGTGTGAGGATTCCGTGCCCTTGCTTTGGGCTGCACACTGTTCTCTCTGAGGCTTGCAAATACCAACGGTCCACCCACTTGAGTCACAGTTGCTGGTGTGGACACCTGGGGAGGTGGGGGATTACTATCAGGATTTAAATCTCAACAGGTACTCAGGGTGAGTGTTCCATGCACACCAAGTGCCATTCTGAGAAGGGCAAGGATTGTGATTCTTTTCTACCAGTTGCCAGTGACTTTCACAGGATGGGTGTCAAACTGTGCTCAGCTTTGTCAGAACTTCCTCCCTGCTGTCTCTATACTCACTGCTTCCAATGCCCTGGTCCCAACCTCACCCAGGAGCCCCAAGGTGGCAGATGTTCTCAGAAGTCCAGGGAATCCCAGATACAGTCACAGTTACAGTGCCCTCAGTAGGTACCTGCTGAGCCCTTCTGGTCAGTTAGACTGTATCCAGGAGTCCTGGTGTGGTGCTGCAGGATAAGCACTAGACCACAAGGTCAGTTTGAACTACAAGGTTAGCAGTTCAAATCCACCAGTTACTCCTCAGAAACCCTAGACGGGGTCTCTACAAGTTGGAACTGACTCAATAACACCAAACAATACGGTTTCTAGTTTGACACTGTAGAATAAGCACTGGACTGCTAAGCAAAGGGTCGGTGGTTCAAACCCACCAGCCACTTCTCGGAAACCCTATACAGGATTGCTGATTTGGAACCAACTTAATGGCATTTAACAACAACAACAGTATCTAAACATCAGCACACTTGTACAAGATGGTATCTTGTTGTTCAGTGCCATTCAAGTAGGTTCTGACCCACAGCTACCCAATGTACAACAGAACAAAACACTTCTGGCCCAGTCCCGTGCCTTCCTCACAATTGTTATGACTGAGTCCACTCTTGCCGCCACTGTCCCAATCCATCTCATTGAAGGGCTTCCTCTTTTTTTTTGCAGTCTCCACAAGGAGCTCTGGTAGTGTAGTGGTTACGAATCGGGCTGCAAACCGCAAGGTCAGCAGTTCGAAACTACCAGCTGTTCTGCGGGGAGAAAGATGAGGCTTTCTACTCCCGTACAGATTTCCAGCCTCAGAAACCCTGTGCAGGGCCACCACGGCACAAAACAACAACAACCAAACATGATGTCATTCTCCAAGGACTGTCCCTTCCTATAACATGTCCAAGTATGACAGACAAGTCTCACCACCTTGCTTCTAAGGGGCACTCTGGCTGTACCTCTTTCAACAGATCTGTTGGTTCTTCTGCAAGTCCATGGTATATCCAAAGTTCTTCAACACCATCATTCAGATACACCTAGTCTTAGTCACTGCCCATGTATGAGGAGCCCGGTGGCGCCTCGCTGTAGTATAAGCCCTGGTCTGCAAACCACAAGGTCCACAGTTCAAACCCACCAGCCGCTCTGCGGGAGAAAATTGAGGCTTTCTGCCTCCGTAAAGAATGGCAGTCTCTGAAACCCTACACAGGCTCGCTATGAGTGGGAACCGACTCCACGGCAATAAACTGTGAGGTGGATCCTACCTCATAC